TGCACTCTTCTAGACGAGCTTTGTCCCAGGAATCTAGTGGTGCCATTTGTTTTCACATGCGATGTTCAGAAGTGCCTCTAATTCACGAAAATGCTAATGACGTCACCATGCCCTATGCATGTTGGAGCTATTTTTTTACAATTTGGGGGTCAAAAATCAAGATAGAAAGTTGAAATTTGGCACATCTAATGTTCTAATAGAGCTCTATAACATATATTCCGGTTTTTGGAAATTCTCAAAATTTTGGATTTTATTAGCTGTTTTCCAAAAAATGTAGTTTTTTGAATTTTTAGGGGTGAAAAACGCATTTTATGGAAAATCCGAGATAGCCATTTTAAAGAACTCGTTGAGCTGCGTCTATTCATGTCCTTAATTTGCAATTTGCTTAAAACCCTGATTTTTGGCGATTTTTAAAACATTTACCACTTTTTGACTAAAAACGCCATGTAGTTACATCACTAAAATCGATATATCTAAAAAAAATTTGAAATTTTTTTCTTAAAAATTACACAGAAGACGTCAAATTGATGGGGGAGAAGGTATGCCAAGTTTCAAGTTGATAGCGTAAGCGGTTCTTGAGTTATTCAAGAAAAACGGAGGGGGGGGGGGGTCGGATCCGACCCCCCCAGGCGGTCGCGGGTTAATGCAGTGCAATACATACATGCATTCTGTCAACTGTCCTACTCAGAAGTGGGCAGGGCAACAGATGGAGATGCGTGCGAGCTCTTGCGCCGATTGACATCGCAGCCGCACACACTTCTGACATTGACATTGGCATTGACATTGACAATGACATTCTGACTGACATACGTGGCGCCGCCGCGCGCCACGGTAGCTGTAGCCTACCACAGGCCCTCGTTGCCCTGGACATATTCATCTCGGCAGATGTGGCATGTGTTATGGTGGTATGGGGATTTCGCCGCGCCCTCAGACGAGCCGTGGGTAAGATTTCTGTTGGCGCCAGTCCCCTTGAGACCAGGGATGCGGACTGCGGAGCCGTGACAATTTCAGACGGCTCCGGCTCCGGCTCCGGATAAAAAATCGGCTCCAGCTCCGGCTCCGGGTGAAATGTCATGGCGGCTCCGGCTCCGGCTCCGAGTAAAATGGTGGTCCGGCTCCGGCTCCGACTCAGTACATCCCCTATGCGCAGGGATGCAGAGCCGTGAAAATTTCAGACAGCTCCGGCTCCGGCTCCGGCTTCGGAGAAAAAATCGGCTCCGGTTCCGGCTCCGGCTCCGGGTGAAATGTCATGGCGGCTCCAGCTCCGGCTCCCGGCAAAATGTGCCGGCTCCGGCGGCTCCGGCTCCGCACTCTGCTTGAGACCCTAATTTTTCGCGATTATTTTTAAATGGATGGAAGAATTTCAACCATATCTAGGAAATAGCCGTTTCAAGACCTACCGCAACTTTTTCTTCCAGTAGATTTCGTTGTCACTTAAATATTTGTGGCACTTGTCATTGACTCGTAATGTTAACTGTTTTTCCATCCTGGATGGAGTCTTTCATACGTCATGACATTAGGCTCCGCCCACGACTGCGGCATTGACCCGTGCCCATCCGCGACCTCTGTACAAACGACACCCCTGCCATCTGCAAAGGGCTTTGAATTTCGCTGATGCTTCACGTGCTATGAATTAATTGTAGCACACGGTCAACTAAATGTTAGGCTAGACAGTGCAGATATAGGACCACCAAATCCTCAATCTACTATTCAGTATTCACACACGCTTCGAACAAACGATTCCTATCAAAATAGCTAAATTTTTTTTTTTTTTTTTTGATAGGTATCTAACTATTTGGTGGAATACGACCATAGCCCTATGAAGTGAAATGAAGGCAATTAATTAAAGGGACCCTCCCACCTTAACATTAGTTTTGAGTTGAGATAGCCAAGTTTGCGGCCAGGCTCAGAAACCACCATTTATCCTGGTCGCAACCAGGGTTTCGGAGTCGGAGTCGGAGTCGGAGTCGGAGTCGGAGTCGCCCGGAGTCGTGGCAAGCAGCCAGGAGTCGGAGTCGGAGTCGGAGTCGGTCCAGCTGCCTCGACTCCGACTCCGGAAAATTAACTGAAGTCTAAAATCCGTGCCATCACTTTGAAGTTGTGTTTAGCCAGTTGCCCCGCGGCAGAATTCACTTTCAGTGATTACAAATAAGGTTTTTTTTTCACACATCTTGTTTTTGTTCTGCTTAACAAACATTGGATCTTTTAAGTTTCAAGTTATGTCATAATTTAGAAGCAAGCATTTTGTATTCCCGTTATAACTTCTACTATCCAGTGTCAAAGACAACATATATGTACGTTTTTCTTTTATCGCTCCGAAAAGTGCCTATTACAAACACAGATCACCGACATGATGGCGATGCTCGTGGTCATGATACGGCCACACTCGTGCTTCTCGGCGGGTTTTCAAGCTGGCCACTGGCTGCTGGTCTCTTGTGGATTAAGCTGCGTCCACGTGGGAGAAATGGGAGAAATGATGACCGCATGAACGAAACTGGAATGTGGTAGCAACCTCCCCTTGAACGTATAGATCTAGCACGGGTCGTCATATCACGCGGACTTTTGGCAGTCACCATTGCCCTTTGTAGCAAACCCGGAGTCGGAGTCGGAGTCGGAGTCGGAGTCGGTCAGGAGCCCGGAGTCGGAGTCGGAGTCGGAGTCGGAACTGCACTACCTCGACTCCGAAACCCTGGTCGCAACCCCCGCAGCTTTATGGTGTTCAAGAAATTTCTTCCCTTTACTTGCAGGGTGGGACCAGCGTGGTCCCTATCTCTTAACCATTACGGGAATCTGATGACGTCATCAGGCTTTCGAACGTCCGTTAAATGTTTGACTAAAACGTTTTGTAGCACGCGGTGGTATATGCTGCTTTGCGCGCAACAAATGCCGCACTTTCAAATAAAGTCGCTAGGAACAGCGGAGATCCCAAAAAGTAAACAAAAGTAAAAGTCTAATATCTTGAAAACCGGTGAATATTTTTCGATGAAATTTGGTAGATATTCGTTTTTGCTCTTTCTGAACCGAGCGACATCACTTTCATGCCAATTCATTAACTTTTTTGAAGGTGGGAGGGTCCCTTTAATTATAGCGATGGCCGATACTGATATAGGTGCATTGCGATGTACCTATCCGACATCCCGTGAATCACCTTTTTGCTTCCCGACAAACTTTTTGCTTCATGCATTCTGCTCATCAGTGGCCATATTTTCTTGGCATAAGCGAATCGTTTCTTTTAACAAGTAGCATCTATGAACTGAATACAAATTTATTGTCGTTCTTATTTCAAAACTTGAAATCAATAAATGCCAACATATTAGATACGATAGATATGATAAGATGTCCTTGGCACATAGGCGCATTATCTGCAACGCCAAAGGCTTTAAATAGGTACAATTTAATATTTTCTAACTTTATGTCACATGCCATATGACCGTCATTGCAGCCTATACAAACTAAAGAGAATAAATATCAGCGAACGATCGCATTGAATATGCAACGCGCATTACGCACTGCTGGCTCCTCCGTGGCTCTTTGGGCACTGTCAGGCAAGACGTTACGCAAAACTCCGCCGGCTTTCGGCACCGCTCGACCGTCCCCGCTCCCCGCCACAGCGCGAGTGACCGCGCGCCGGCCCAAAACCAAGGCCCTAAAACATACCCAAAACCGCCGCAGGCCAAGGCCATAGAGGCGGGGCTTAGCTGTGACGTCACAACGTATCAAAGTCTGACTAGACCTCTACACACCGGATGAAAATCTTGCTCGAAATTTAGCATTACGAGTCAATGAGAAGTGCCTGAAAATTGAAATATTGAAATAGCGACAAACTATCTAAATTGTAGAAGTTTCGGCAGGTCTTGAAAAGGCCATTTCTTGAATTTGGTTGAAATTCTTCCACGCATTCAAAAATAATCGCGAAAAATTAGGGTCTCAAGGGGTCTGGCGCAAACAGTAGGTCGTTCATTAAGTAATGATCAATTGGGCATAACTTTTGTTTTACTGACGATAACCCATTCAAGCTTTCACATATTTGTGAAACACTATTTATCAGCCGATCTCAGCCCCCAAACCCGTCACCACCCGCCTGCACGCACTTCTCCCAGCGCTCAACCCAACGCCTGAACCCTGCCCGGAAAAGCACGCTCTCGGTCTTCTTCACCCACTCCCTGGCAGCACGCTTGACGTCGTCATCGGTCTTGAAGTGATAGCCACGAAGTTCATCCTTCAGAGGAACAAATACGTGAAATTCAGAGGGAGCGAGGTCTGGCCGCTGTAAGGCGGCTGCGCGGCATGATATTCCAGCCCATGTCGGCAATTTTCTGGGCAGTAATATGGGCTGTATGCGGCCAGGCGTTGTCATGATGCAGAGTGATATTCGTGACGTCCAGGCCAGGACGCTTCTTCATGATAGTTTGCTTCAGCCTTTTCAGCACCTTGACGTAACGTTCATGATTAATTATCTGCCCAGACTCAAGAAAATCCACAATGAGGACACTATCTTGATCGCAGAAAATGGTCACCATAATCTTCCTAGGAGAAGAGACAGTTTTCACCTTCTTTGGTGCTGGTGATCCTGGGGGTGTCCATTCCATGGACTGACGCCTAGTTTCTGGCTGGTAATGGTGAATTCAGGACTGGACTCATCGCCGGTCACTTTGTGAACTTCGTGGCTATCACTTCAAGACCGATGACGACGTCAAGCGTGCTGCCAGGGAGTGGGTGAAGAAGACCGAGCGCGCGTGCTTTTCCGGGTAGGGTTCAGGCGTTGGGTTGAGCGCTGGGAGAAGTGCGTGCAGGCGGGTGGTGACGGGTTTGGGGGCTGAGATCGGCTGATAAATAGTGTTTCACAAACATGTGAAAGCTTGAATGATTTATCGTCAGTAATACAAAAGTTATGCCCAATTGATCATTACTTATTGAACGACCTTATAAGATATACATGACGCGTCCCTCGCACACATCTGGTCGGGGAGAAAGCGTCACAATAAACTGGGGCTACTTGCTTAGGCAGGTCAACTGGCGAAGCTGGCGTGTGCGCCGTCCCCTCGACTTGAGCGGGCGAGTCCACCGTTGCTGGAACGCTGGTATATCCTACGTCCTTGTAGCCCGGGTGGTTGATGTGCAGCATTACACTTGCACCGGTGCTGATCTCCAGATCCTTTGCCTGATGGCATATTAAATAACACAATGATAGGTGTTATAGATTATAAGGATACTTTTCATATAATGGTAGCACGAGCAATGTCAATCATAACAATAGTCAACCAGCATGACGATATATGTAGCTGCGGCACGTCCTATGCAAAACCTACTATTTCTACTATAATAATTATATTTGAGGTCTACACTATATTTGCGGTGGCTGCGTCTGTCTGTAACCGAGGTCCTGACATGGCGACCTTTAACCCGCGCCCCGTAGGGCTACCGGCGGACCCTACCACCCGTAGGGGGGGGGGGCCGTATCGGCCCCCCCCTAAGATCTCGGAAAGTTACCGGCCGATTTTCAAAATTCAAACGGCGTTCGATAGCCCCACCCGGGAACTACCTTGTGACCAAATTTCATTGACCTAGGTCAAACCGATGACGTCACAGGTCAGGTCAAAGGTCAGATTTTCACCGTTCACAGGCAATTCAAGAAATGTGCTGTGAAAGCGAGTAAATTGGTAATTTATTGAAAACCATCGATGGTACATTGTTCGTCAAACACATACTTTGCTATCTGAGGTCACTGATACCAGGTCAGGTCACAGCGAGGTCAGGTCACCGGGGTCACAATATGAATGTGTCGTGTGATACATGTTTTATGGTCCATTTTACATGACAAACGCGATTATGTGGGTTAGGCAGCCTTTGGGGCCAGCCTAGGTCACGTTTTTGTGAAGGTCAGGTCAAGGTCAGGTCAAATTAGGTCAAATTTCAAAGTTGATATTTTTGCATAAAATGGGTATCGATTCGATGCAGCTCGTCACGGGGAGTCTAATGGTGGTCTTCGTTTTGCTCTACGAGTTCTAGAATTGCCAAAAATTGAAATTGAAAATTTGACGTCATCATTTTTGAACAGTTTTTTTCGCTATAACTTGGCCAAAAAACGAGGTATCGATCTGAAATTTGGTATGTAGATAGAAGACGGTAGGCACTATCACATATATTCCGGTTTTTTCGAAACTCAAAAAACTTTTTTGATTTTTTGGCGAATATATCCAAAAAAAATGCTTTTTTGATTTATGGGGGTCAAAACTCAAAAATTTCAAAAATTCGAGATAGCAGTTTTGTAGCCCTGTCAATTCTACACCTTTTATGTGATCATTTTTCTGTATCTTCAAAGCTGTAGTCCTGACAGGTCTTCTCGCGAAAGTCTTTTTTCGGTCAAAAATGACAGAACATGACGTCACTCTGACGTCATTTGTGGCCAACCTATCATAGCCTCTGGAAAAATTTTTGGTCATTATGTGTAAAATTGATGCCCGGAGGGGTCCTGAAAGTTTGGTGGCGATATCTCCAGCCGTTTAGGAGATATCGACCGAAAAGGACAGGGGGGGGCCGTTTCGGCCCCCCCCCCCTACGGGGCGCGGGTTAACCTTCGCCCGAGTGGGTGGGGGTGGGGGCTTGGCGCCACACCTGCCAGTTTTTTTTTTTGCGTGTGTAAAGAAAACCGCGGCGGCGACGAAACTTGGTATAGCTTATCATCCATCAATTTCACATCGTGTGTGAAACTTTTGCCCCCAGGTCACGTAAGGTCAGGTCACCACGTCAAGTTAAGTAGCCATGCCTCTAAAAAAAATGTGATTCTGTCATTCTTACAGTTTACAGCCCGGAAGTTTGAAACTCGGGATTTTGCGTGAGGAAATCAGTATGAACAATTCGTATATCTCGGGATTTTCATATCGGTGACCTAATGTTAGGTCAATTTTGCGACCTCTCCATTAACCCTATTCCTGGCGGGCTCCGCCGGGACAAGAAACTGGCGGGGGGGGGGGCCGATTCGGCCCCCCCCTGAGATCTCGAGAACGAAGCAAGATAGCGACAAGCGGTAAACGGCATCGGATACGCATGGACAAGGTCTACAATTTTTACTAAGGTCATTTTCAGGTCAGGTCAAAGATGACGTCACAGGGGTCGAAAAAGTCAAAATGGCGGCGCTAGATATGGAGAGAGTTTTTCTCGAATAACGGCGCTAGATATGGAGAGTTTTTCTCGAATAACTTTCGAATTAGTCAAGATAGGAACAAACTAAGGGCATCATCGTGATCCTCTCGTCAATCCGCATCGAATGATATATATGTTGACCTCGAAAGGTCAAGGTCAAAGGTTGACCTCAGGTCACGTGACCTCGAGGTCATCATGCATATCATTCGATGCGTCTTGACGAGCTGAACACAATGAGACCATCCACGCGTCTGTATCTTGTTCCTGTACGGAGTTATTGGCCAAAAACCTTTGGTGACCTTTGATGACGTCACATGACCTCACAGCTGCCCAACAGCAAAACAGACCTCAAGGTAGTGAAGGTTGATCGTATATGAAGTCATATATGGTATATGGGGCCATTCCGACCCGTTTTAGTGGTAAAAACAGGGAGTTGATTTTTCCCCCATTGACTTATAATGGGGAGGTCGCGAAACTGACCTGACCTTAGGTCACCGATATCAAATTTCCGAGATATACAAATTGCACATACTGGTACCCTAACTAAAGCCTGAAGAGAAGAAACTGATCGGTCAAAAACTCTAGCTCTGGCGTGATTGCAAACTTTTCTGAGGTAGGGTCACCAAACCGCCTCTGGTGACCTGACCTGAGGTCAGATCAACTCAAAATTTTCAGACATGTTGCGTAGAAGCCTTTTAGGAAAAGTCAGAAAATTTGAGCTTCCTAGCTCAACGCGTTTGGGAGAAATAACCAAAAAACCTCAGGGGGGGGGGCTCCTGAGGCCCCCCCCCCCCCCCCCGCCAGGAATAGGGTTAAAAGTCAATGGGATAAAATTGAAACGCTCTTTGTTTGACCGAAAACACCCTCAAACATCGTAACATAGGTAAACATGGCACATTGAATCGAAAAATTGCACTGGTGGCGGCCTATTGTAGGTATGCCCTTGAGGTCATCTCAGGTCATGAAACGTCTCAAACAGCTTTTGGACGATAACTTTCGATAGAAACATGCTAGAGCGCTGAAAACACCATGAATGTGTTCAGTTCAGCAATACGAATCGAATGACATGCAACATGACCTTTTCCGTGACAAACTTTCAAGTTGACCTCTTCAGGTCATCTTATAGTTCATTCGACGCGTCTCGACGAGACAAACATGATGCCGGTAAAATCAGCGTCATACAAGCTTGGGGTCAAAAGTTATGGTACGAATTCCGCAAGAACGTCCAATTTTGATAGCTTTTGCCCTCTGGAGGCTAAACCATTAACCTAAGGTCAGATCTGAGAAGATTATCCAGAAAGGCCTTTAAAAGAACTATCGAATGCGCTTGTCCGCAGCGCTGTAGGTCTATCGGTTCCCGACTTATGCACCGATTTGTGAAAAGTTGTCAAAATCGGGTACCAAAAATCGTGAAAATTTTATCTTTGGTGACCGCCAGTAACCTCAGCAATGACCTGATCAAAAATGAACTAGATGATTTTGAAAGATCTTGTAGCGAGCTATACTCGTATATTGCTTTTTATCGCGTCTTTCTAGCTTTCTTACTTTCCGAGATAATCTGGTGTGGCCAAAAAGCCCCCCCCCCCACACACACACACACCCGGGCGTGGGTTAACGCAGGCTACAGGCCAGCCCGTTGCGTCTAGCGCGGTGAAATGTGCATTGTGCACGACTTTTAGACCAAGGATGCGCAACGTGCCTTTGACGGGTCTGAGCTAGACCTGAGCTAGATTATCATTAGTTATGCTTCAGTGTCTTGCTAGCAACAAACATTCGATTTGCAGATATAACAAATGATGCAAAGTGATATCATAACTCACCTTTGCTATCAGGGTTCGCGTTGTTTTTAAATACTTTGAGCGACGATGATGCTGATTTCTTAGGAAATGTGACACGTGTCGGCCTGGCCTTTTGCCACCACGCTTGACTTCTCTTTTCATCTCTGAAGCTGCAGATCCCTGGTCCGCACCGGCAAACTCGATCACTTCCTGGACGTCGATAGGACTTCCGTCCTCCTCCACGAACTCCATCTTTGTAGGGAAAAGAGGCGAAATGTCAGATGTTTAGGGATCAGATGATGAGTTGAGCAAATACAAGTTTAATAAAGGGATTATCGGGGTTTTGGAAATATGAGATTGGCTTGTTTTCGCTGTTGCTGGATTCCTCAGGCTCTGTTGATTCCAAATGGTATGCATAAAAGCATGGGCGTAGGAACGGCTGGAACATTGTAGGTGCATGGGTGCAGAAATCCAGCCACGGCCGGTGAAGCGAAGGGGGTAGGGAGCGGCACCCGAGCAGAGGCTCATTGGGAGCTTAACCCGCGCACCGACGGGGGTCTGCGCCAACTTAGTACCGACGAGGGGGGCGGATGACCGCCCCCCCCCCCCCTGAGATCTCGAGAACGAAGCAAGATAGCGACAAGCGGTAAACGGCATCGGATACGCACGGTCAAGATCTACAATTTTTACTAAGGTCATTTTCAGGTCAGGTCAAAGATGACGTCACAGGGGTCGAAAAAGTCAAAATGGCGGCGCTAAATATGGAGAGAGTTTTTCTCGAATAACTTTCGAATTAGTCAAGATAGGAACAAACTAAGGGCATCATCGTGATCCTCTCGTCCATCCGCATCGAATGATATATATGTTGACCTCGAAAGGTCAAGGTCAAAGGTTGACCTCAGGTCACGTGACCTCGAGGTCATCATGTATATCATTCGATGCGTCTTGACGAGCTGAACACAATGAGACCATCCACGCGTCTGTATCTTGTTCCTGTACGGAGTTATTGGCCAAAAACCTTTGGTGACCTTTGATGACGTCACATGACCTCACAGCTGCCCAACAGCAAAACAGACCTCAAGGTAGTGAAGGTTGATCGTATATGAAGTCATGTATGGTATATGGGGCCATTCCGACCCGTTTTAGTGGTAAAAACAGGGAGTTGATTTTTCCCCCATTGACTTATAATGGGGAGGTCGCGAAATTGACCTGACCTTAGGTCACCGATATCAAAATTCCGAGATATACAAATTGTAGCTACTAATGACCTAATAACATCCTGCGACTTTCAAAGGCCTCCGACATCTACTGTAGCTCTGGCACGGTGACAAAGTTGCAAAAAAGTGACTTGAGGTTGGGTCATTCAAAGTGACCTGGTGACCTGACCTTGAAAGGTAGGAGGTTCAAACTTGCACACCATGTGTAAAATTGATAAGGGAATAGTCATATGAAATTTCGCGCCGCGGTTTTCCCGCTATTTGCGAAAAACCTCAGGGGGGGGGCGGATATCCGCCCCCCCCGTCGGTGCGCGGGTTAAACCAGCTCCGGGCCGGTGCTCTGAGATTCCGTGCCGGGCCGGGGGGGGGGGTGTCTGAACACCCCCCTTCTAACTCGGCTCCTGGGCCATGAAGCGACACGCGGTAAGCGGCAATCGTAAGAGCGCCAAAAATAATGAGGAAATTACTTCAGTCACCTTTTTGGTCAGGTCAAAGGTCAGGTCACCAGAGGTCATTGAAGGCACAATTTCGCCGATTTTCATGTCGAATGTCGACAATTTTCAAAATGCCAACGCATAACTCGGGAACCAACAGAGCTACAGCGCCAGCCACGGAAAAGCGCATTCGATAGCCCTATTAGCGCCCTTTCTGAGTAATTCTATCAGATTTGACCTAGCGCCAACGGTTTTGCCTGCAGGTGGCAAAACTGCCAAAATAGCCGATTTGTTCGGAAACAGTTTTTCTGCAATAACTTTTGACTCAAGCTTTGCACGAGTTTACTTTTACCGTAATCGTGTTCCTCTTGTCAAAGCGCATCGAATGAACTATAACTTGACCTTGGAAGGTCAACTTGAAAATCTGATCTCAGGTCAAGGTCATGACCTGACCGGAAAGGGGCATGTTGCATATCAGTCGATCCGTATCGTCGAGCTGAACACATCTAAGGCGTTTTCATCACTCTATCATGCTTCTATCAAAAGTTATTCGCGGAAAACTGTTAGATACCATTCGTGACCTGAGATGACCGCAGGGGCATAAACAGGGGGTCACGGACTCACGCATACCCTTTTCGGAAAAAAGTTCACTTTCCTAAAATTAGTTTTTTTGCTATGGAGTTATGTTTTTTCATGCTCAAAATCATCAGCAAAGAAAATAAAAGCTATCTGTTGAAAAATTATGTATCTTAATTTAGGAAAAAACTATATTCTATAAAAAGTATTGTTTAACACAGAAGCTTATTACATTTTGAACAATCATATTGCGTAGTAAAAACCCATTGGTTGCAAGCAGCATGCTGATTGGCTGACGCCAAGCTGAGACTAAGGTGGCTGCATTCTGAGTATTTCTTCTAAGTCACCCTTTTCGGAACGAGAAATGGAATATCTTCGTCTAGGGTGATCGTTGGGCGGTAAAAGCTTCTGATTTGTGCTAGTCTCAGCTCAAGCTAAAAAAACTGCTATTCCAGTTCAAAACCCCATGTTAAAAGTGTACTATTTCCTTTAAGAACATTGGCATAAGAATGGCTGACACATTGTGGGTGCGCCGTGCAGACTGGAAAACATCCATACGCTACGCCGGACGCCCGCGAGACCCTCTTGCGCCGAAATTCGACGCAAGCGATTTTGCGCCGAAATTTCTGCGTCATTTGCGCCAAAAGTTAGGTGCCTATTTTTTGCAAAAAATAAGCCCTTTTCGTATAAAGCACCTGTGTACGTCTATTGATCAAGGCTATATGAACCAGACAGTGTTTCGGGGCCTTGTACGTACACTCTCCCATGTTTGAGCGTCCTAATGAGTTATTGATTTCCACTGAAACCCAATGCCTCAATACTCTTAGCGCACTCTAGATTCATGCCGTGAAACAAAGCCGGAGCTGTAAGTTCCGGGGCCACAAATATCGGCGGAGCAGTGTGTTCGAGGCTGGCGGGAGCCAGCGAGGGCCGGGCAGCGGAGCAGCACATGCTCCGGCACATCAGCCTCTTCTCGGCTCATGGTGCAGAGCGCCGCTGGGCACCGCTTGTCTGGGCACTGCTGGCACGCGGCGGAGTGGAGACAGCCGATTCGGTGCCGTATTGGAGCGAGCGGCCCCGGTGGCCCGCCCTCATCTGGTGCACCGAAATGGCATCCTCTCGGTCCTCTCCGGGGATAGGGGGCGGTGGCGTGATCCCGAGGAGTGGCCTGAATAGTGATTCTGAGCAGTTGTCGCGTCACTGATGCGAGGCCGCACAATGAACCGCCCTGGTCAGCGATCGGGCGTTTGAGGGCAGGGCGGCCGCCTGTTTTGCCAGGTCGTCCACGATCTCATTCTCCTCGATACTGCAGTGGGCAGGAACCCGCTGTTATTGCTTAACGACGCTTGGCGACGTTCAACAAGGTCTTTCATACCTATCTCTATGCCGAAGGTTGAGGCCTCACCTGAGCGGCCGCTCCTCCGCTGAGTAGACAGACAGACCTTTATTCGGAACCTCCATAAAATGGGTTTGTGGTTTCCACGTCATATACAGGCGAGATAATAGAACCTAAAATATCAAGCTAAAACCACGTAGCAAAGATAGAGGCGCATTAAAAATCATTCCATTACTTGCTAGCGCGAAATAGGAAGCCACGGCGGGCAAACTCTGGCCTTACACGAGGCAAAGTCAAACGCCCATTCTCGGTCGCACGAGTACTTCTGGAAGACTCGTCAGATCTCTAAGGACCAGCTTATTACGCCAGATCTCAGGGGCGTTAGCTAAGGTCATCAGATGTCGTACAATAGTGAGATCATTGTCACAAATCAGGTCGTACACACACTTCCATGCTAGCTCCTGCAGTGCTGGGGTTACATGTTCGCGCCGGCTCAGACCGCACCCTATGCGCACACCAAAATTGATTATTTTCTGGAAGCGCTTTTCTGGGTAACATTGCAGCTACCTGTGTGGGATGCGCTTCATGGATTTCGGGTACTCTGTTGCACAACCAAGCAAGACTGATCAATATCAGGTTGCAGCGCTGGACGATGGCGGATGGATGTTTTCCTCAGGGCGCCTCGCCAGTTCGAGCACGAGACGACCGGGGCAGGGACGCCTTGTCCCAAAACCTCTCCAGAGCCGCCCGCAGGGCGACCGGGGCAGGGATGTCTTGTCCCAAAACCACTCCAGAGCCGCCCGCAGGGTGAATCTGCTGCTGGATTGACCAGCGTACCGCATAAATTCAGTGACTGTCTTTTGCCAAAAATTATGGGTATTAGTAAGTGACCGCCATGCGCCAAAAAATTTGTCTGCCACCATGTGCTGAATTCAGCGCATGCGAAGTTACGCCAGATGTGCGCTTAAATTATTGGCGGATCCCACCACTACGCCGGATATATTCGGCATAACGTGTATTTTTTCCAGTCTGGCGTGCGTGGGTGCAGAAATCCAGAGCCCAGGCCGGTGAAGCAGGGAAGGGGTTGGGGAGCAACACTTTGGGAAAACATTTTGCATAAGTATCTCAATTTCTGACACATCTTGACCTCATTATCTCACATTGACATGATCTCACAGTCCACAGATTGATCATTGAGGTCCTTCTCACCGTCTTGGTCTGTGGCTGTGCCTCACACTTGGTCTCGATGGTCGTCGGACAGAAAATGGTATGATTCATATTTTAAAATTACTGAATATCCAAAATTGAAATGAGTGACACAGAAAAGCTCCGCATGGGGCAGTGCACATTATATCCAGGGTATCATCGGTATCATTATATCAACTTATGCCCACCCAGTGCTGCCAGATGGGGAAGGCTGTAATCCTCTATATCAGTTACAAAAATCCTCCAGATTCCTCCAAATCCTATTGGTAGATATAGAAAGGCGGTCTTGGACGCTGCGGGGGGCTATACCCCCAAAAAAGTTTCACCAAATACTAAAAACCCATCGGATTTCGAATCTTTTCGCACTGCTGTGCAGTTTAAAAGATACTTTTCTTATAAAAGTTGTTGAGTTTTCGTTTTATCTTAAAAAAAACGAAAATTTTCGTCGATTTCAGGCGCTGCAGGGGGGCCGGGGGCATTTGCCCCAAATGTCCCCCTTAGATCCGCCAGTAGTTTGGTACCCTCGTAAATATAGCTACAGACTGAGACATTCTGCAGTCTCACGGTGATAAAGGACGTGATATATCCTAACGGGTAGGGTGACGCTGGGCAGGAAAATGCCTTTTTAGTCTTGAATGTGTTATATTTTTCCATGAAATTGAATATAATAATCGGGCGACAAATCCTCCAGATTTTCCTCCAGAATCAAAAATCCTCCAAAAGCGAAATTTGTCCGCAAATAGAGTTCAAAATCCTCCAGATTTGCGGAAATCCTCCAAATCTGGCAGCACTGCACACAAAAGGGGACGACGGTGAAAACAGGGCGCCTGGGGCGATTTGATCAAGGTTCGTGAAAATTACACGTGACGTTTAGCATGTAGAAGGCCCACAAAGGGGGAGAAGCTCCAATTGTCACGTGACTAATATGCCCTCCGGCTCCCTGTTTTCACCGGCGTCCCACAAAAGGCCGCTAGCCCCTTGGCCCTGGTGACGTCAACGACATTTCTTATATTGAGAATTTCGGCTATAAGGAAAATATTTTACAGACACAAATTTGTATTTTATTAAGAAAAATGATTTTTTTTATTCAATCATGAAAATTATATTATTTAATTAAAAACTTCAATCCTTTGAAGTGTTTGTCCCAACCTTTGCTATACCTTTGGTCACGTGACTGCCATGATTTACTCTGCGTTTTGCAATGTTATGACTTGAACAGAAATAAGTACTGCTACAAGTGCATTATTAATGACGTTTTAGGCAGCAATCGTGTAAATATATCCTGACATTATATATAATCTGCTGAAAAGAAGTCACGTGATGCTACCAGATTGTGCTCCGACAGCATCTTCTTGAACTTCGATTTTGAGTACTTTGTACCTTCATTGAGGCCTAATAACGGACGTTTTTAGTTATGAAATGAAGCATTGAATCTAATGAGTGCAAAATTTAATCATTTTTTGCACTTTCAGGCCGGGCTATCCCGGCCAAATGGAATACGGAGGGAGAGAACTTTGAGCATGAAATTTTGGCATAAACTTCAGATATGGTAGCACTAGTGGTGAACGCAAACGAGACGATTACAAAGCAATGTTGCAAACGTGGCGCAAGTGCATTCTCTCGCTTCCTATTGTTTTTGATGAGTCTGGATAAATATTGCGGTTGTTTGCCGGTGCTTTGTCTGAAATTTAACAAGACTGAGCATATTTTCAGTCATCATATTAGGGCATCGAGATGGCCCGCAGGTATGACTCAAGAACCACCATATTCTCTCCAGAAGGGAGACTGTATCAAGTTGAATATGCAATGGAAGCCATCGGCCACGCCGGTACATGCTTGGGAATCAGAACCCCTGATGGAATAGTTCTAGCAGCTGAGAAGCGTAACATGAATAAGCTTCTTGATGAGGTTGACTTCTCAGAGAAAATCTATAAACTCCATGAGAACATGGCATGCAGTGTTGCTGGCATCACCTCAGATGCAAATGTTTTGACGAACGAGCTGCGCCTGATCTCGCAGAGGTATCTTCTTCAATATGGAGAGCCAATTCCTTGTGAGCAGTTGGTCACTATGCTCTGTGATCTCAAGCAGGCATACACCCAGTTTGGAGGGAAAAGGCCATTTGGTGTGTCCATCCTGTACATTGGTTGGGACAAGCACTATGGATATCAGCTGTACCAGTCTGACCCGAGTGGAAACTACAGTGGATGGAAGGCGACATGCATTGGAAGTAACAGTGCTGCTGCAGTTTCTATCCTCAAACAGGATTACAAGGAAGACATGGAGATAAAAGCTGCAATCATGCTGGCCATGAAGGTGATGAGCAAAACTCTGGATGTCACCAAGCTGGCTGCTGACAAGATCGAGCTCGCTGTTCTGTCTCGGGGGCAGGGCAAGACCAGTCTGAGGATCCTGCCAGAGAAAGAGGTGACAGGGTACATCACCCTACATGAAAAGGAGGAGGCAAAGGCAGAAGAGGAGAAGAAGAAGGAGAAGGATGGTAAAGCATCTTCATCAAAGTGAGTGGCCTGAGGTGTCAAAAGAACAATGACTGAAGCTTTTGACCTGTGTTGGAGATCATACATTCACAGGATTACTTGTCATGTCCAATACTGCGAAATACACTTGGATTGTGGTCTGTTATTTGTGAATCAAATTCCAACTATGTAGGTTGCAGGTAGTGCCTAGCTACTAATCCATGCAGTCACAAGCCAAGGTCATCCACACATGCCCACTATTTCAAAATTTAATGTTAAAACTTTTTTTTCAAGGTTCTGCTCTCCCCCCCCCAGCATGTGTATTTAAATAAGTGACTACTGACTAGTTTGTCCAACTGACTTAAAACACATCACTTATGTTTGTTTTTCAGGCATGCTTACATATGACATACTTGAAGGACTGACTATCCATCAGACCTATCTTTATAGATCATTTTCTGTTACAGCAGATCAAGGAATTAAAATCTAAGGGTAGGTAGTTATCACTTTGCTGAAATATCATGGAAATTTAAAAGGCATTAAATGGTTAGCAGTTGATTTTAACAGATGCTAGGCAGTAGGCATAGCATTTTGCTCAGAAACTACCCTCTTTATGATAGTTGATGCTTATGAGAAATCTTGCTAGGCAAGGTTGGAGATGAAAATTTGTCAATGTTTTACTTGCTGTTGTATAGGTAAGCTGTTCCCAATACATGCCTTTTCATAAACTATAGTAATTTTTGATCGCATCATAGCTCTGCATAGTCGAAGCTGTTTTTGAATGCTATGGAAAGCTAGTGGATTGCTAAAAACAACCCATTGGGGAATAAAATAAGACTACTTAAAGTTTTGACTTTTTATTTTGTGCATCTAATATGCCCATCAGGATTCGTGGGCAAAAGTGTGTACCTATCGCAAAAGTACGTTGGACGAAAATGCCTCCCCAAAATCTTTGTTGTACGATTAGGTTCGTAGGCGCTAAAGTACGCAAGGACAAGTACGGATCGCTAGAGGACCCAACATAACCTGACCTGACCTCACTAACTGAACTAAGTAGCACATAAAAATTAAAAAGAGTCCAGTATGTACATCCTCACGAGCTGGATGAGAGCGGCCAAGTGGCCTTCTTTAACTCGAACACCTTGAAGGTAAGGTAAAGTAAGGTAAAAAACTAGCCCAACAAAACCCAGCCCAACCTAATTTAATCTACACTATTTTCCAAACGTACGTAATGCCATAAGTACCTACATTTGCGATATGCACTTTAGTCCTACCCATATTTCCTGACGTACATTTGCCAGAAAAAAAAAACATTTGCGAAACATCCTTTGTCGTCAACCCACCCAGCACAGCGCGAGGCGGACTCGCCGGTACCTGGCAGGCGAGAGGGCGCCGACATTCGTGCATAGATGGCGCTTCTAACTGGGCATAGGCGAAACTATGGAGGATCGCTTTGGCTAATGAGTGGGCAAATCATACAGAGCTGTAGATGAATGTGTTGTCTTGGATCTATACGAGGTCCTGCATGTTCACAACACTATATGCTATCATGTATAGATCTCCACGAGACATTTCCCCACCAAGAACGGTCGCTCATTCGTTCATCAGTTCAGAGATACCCAGCTGTTTAGATTAGACGTTAATGTGTGGATATGCAGGTCGTTGGGCAGATCCATAGACTCCTGTATATGTAGGTGCATAAGTCTATGGTAGATCACATCAACGAAGTTTCCGTCTCACTTTTGCCACCGGTTGGGCTTTCAGCTGTTGGCATGGGGCTCTAACACATATGATACACCAAAAACAATACATGATAACGCTCCACAGGCATACATTGCCGGAACACTAATCATGACGTACTGGTGTCCGCATAGAACTGCGCAATCATGCTTCCAGTGCAATCTCTCGGACTAACTAATAAAACAGATGGTTGTTGCCGCAGGCTTTACAATGTTTGATTTAAACTATCAGAGACCAGAGTAAGAGTACTATGTACACTAGGATGTATTTACTTATCGTATCAGCGAACTGAAACAATTCGAACGTCAGCTGGTGTAAGCGAAGCAAGTCTTGAATAATTGTTTGGCTAGAGACTTTATGCACTGAACGTTAATATTGTTTTATTCGTACCGCGCTTTCATACATCAGCAGAGTGCATGAAACTCAGTGTCGCAAGTCGCACACGTCTTCTATACCGAAACATTGCCCACAAATGGGAAGCTAGGGCTTTGTCGATGAAAATGTTTTATAAAGAGTATGATCCATAACACTTCACTCACATAAACCGCAAACGAATGCCGTTACACCAAACACGGGGTACGCCAAAACAGTATAAACACTGGCGCGGGTAGTGGTGAGATCTAATTTAGACTCCTTCGACTTTCGGCACATTCATCGTATGAGACATAACGTGGCGGAAAAGTGCCCACTTGGCACGGAAACCAACATTGCACATGGGACACTTTTTGGTGCCCAGCTTGGTCACGCAGCCCTTGAGGAACATGTCGAACGCAGTGACCTGCTGGGGGTGCGCGGCGGCGAGGTGCAACTCCAGCCGCCTGGTATCGTCGGCGCGGAACGGGCAGAAGAAGCACCTGTCGACACCGCCGCGCGTCTGGTAGCCGCCGCGGGGCTGGCTGTAGGCCTCCTGCTGCAGGGTCTGCGAGCACCGCTCCGTCAGGAACCGACCCACTGACAGCTGGCTCCAGCCGCCGGACGGAGGCGCCGCCGCCGGCGGACCATCGGCCGTGGCCGCGCGCTCGTCCCGCCGCTCCGTCTTCGTGTCCCTGCCGGTCCTGGCACTGTCATGCGTACCATGGACAGCCCCTGTTTGGGCGCTGTCAGGTTGATTAGCAGTGCCCTTGGCTCTCGTCTGGGCTGCTACCGAAACTTCCATTGGGCTGGGTTTGTCAGGTCGAGCAGTGTCCTTGGCTGCTAAAGGAGCGTTCACTGGATACGTCCTGTGGGCCATGTCAGGTTGACTAGAAGCGTCCTTGGCTCTTATCTGGGCTGCTACCGGAACTTCCGTTGGGTTGGGCTCACGGGTTCTGTCAGGTCGAGAAGTGACCTTGGTTCCTCCAGGAACTTCCGTGGTGCTTTGTCTATGGGTTCTATCAGGTCGAGCAGTGTCCCTTCTTCCTGAATGAACTTCCGTGGTGCTTGGTCTATGGGTTCTGTCAGGTCGAGCAGTGTCCCTTCTTCCTGAAAGAACTTCCGTGGTGCTAGGTCTTTGGGTTCTGTCAGGTCGAGCAGTGTCCCTTCTTCCTACAGAAACTTCCGTGGTGTTAGGTCTATGGGTTCTGTCAGGTCGAGCAGTGTCCTTGGTTCTTACTGGAACTTCCGCAGGGTTGGGCCCATGGGTTCTGTCAGGTCGAGCAGTGTCTTTTGTTCCTACAGAAACTTCCGTGGTACTAGGCCTATGGGTTCTGCCAGGTCGCGCAGTGTCCTTGGCTCCTACAGGAACTTCCGCTGGGTTGGGTCCATGGGTTCTGTCAGGTCGAGAAGTGACCTTGGTTCCTCCAGGAACTTCTGTGGTGCTAGGTCTTTGGGTTCTGTCGGGTCGAGCAGTGTCCTTGGCTGCTATAGGAACAACAGGAACTGGGTCATCTTTTACCTCTGCATCATCCGTGTCATCAACTGACGCGGGGTCCTCGCTCTCCAAGTCCCCTGGATCGTCGACGTCTTCCACCTGCTCGTCGTGCTGCCCCAGGTGGTTCAGGAACTCGTCGTAGCTCACCTCTGCCGAGCACACCGGGCAGAAGTAGGGTGCGCTGCGCGGACCGGCGGTGCCGCGCACCCACAGTGAGTGGCACTCCACCAAGTGGCGGTCCATGTTGGCCAGAAGACGCGTGCCGAACCCGCAGATGGGCATCGGGCACTCGTAGCTCTCCGATCGCTCGCGCACGCAGGCGCCGTTACCGTGTTGGTTGTCCTTGCCGTAGTAGAAGGTGCCGCCACAGTCCTCGCAGATTCGGTTCCGCAGCGGCGCGGTTTTGTGGTACCACTTGATGTGATCTGCGTCGTGCTTGTGGTAGCAGTGGGGGAACGGGCAAAGGGAGCGGCGCGGCGCCGACCGGCCCTTGATGTGCAGCCGCCGCACGTGTGCCGCGAACTCGCTGCGCTCGGCGAAGAAGCTGTCGCACATGGGACAGTCGTAGCGCCTCTGCCGGAGGCAGCGCGCCTGCTCTTCTGGCGGCGGTCCGGCGTTGCATGGGTCGGGGCGAGGCAGCTTGCCCGGCCGGCCGCCGCCGCTGTCCCAGCCCGGACGCTCGACGAAGTGGACGCACATCAGGTGCACCTGCAGGTGCGTCCGAACCTCGGTCGCGTAGAAGCAGAGGTGGCAGCTGTGCGGGAGGTTCTCGCTGCGCCGACGAGCCTCGTCCGTGTGCCAGTATGCGTGCCGACGCACCGCGACCGAAATACCGCGGAAGTTGCACTGTTCGCACGTGGTGATACCGTCGCAATTGTCGCTACGCACCGCCGATGCCGATGCCGCCCGCGACGATGATTCTGGTCTTGTTTGAAGCTTTGCGTCCGTGCTTGGCTGAGGGGTTTCAACACTGGAGCGCGCAGTCCCAGTATTGGAGTCGTTGGTCTTAACGTCAATGGGCTGCCTTTTCGACCCGCTCTCTGATTTGATAGCCTTGCCAATGCGAAGAGCTTTCAGCGCGGCAAGCTTCTTGCGCTTTAGTTCCTCGGCCCGCTTCTGTTCTTGTTCCTTCTCTCTGGCGGAGGCCAGGATTGCCAGCGCGCCGCTGGTTTCGGGCGGTGGCTTAGTGACCGGTCTTTGCTTTCGCACCATAGTTAGGTTCACCGTGATTTTCATTACCTTGTCCAGGATAGTCTCTGAGTACAGCTTCTTCTTCTCGAGTATCAGCCGCACCAGGTTCCTCTTACCCTGTTCGAAGTTGTTCTCAATGGTGGAGAAAATATCTGGACCCCGAATGTGCGGATGTCGCTGGCGAATGTGATTGGGCTGCCACGCGGCGAATTTCTCATCGCAGATCTTGCAGCGGAACAGTGCTGTGGCGCTGTCGTGTCTGTGGTAGTGCAGTGTAGCCTGAGTCAATGTCTCGCTCTTCTTATCGCACACGGGACATGGGAAGCCGTACAGCGCTTGGCGAGCACGACACAGCTCCTTCATTTGGGCATCCTGTGCATCCTCCCGAGTAGTCTTGGCAGCCTTCTGTTCGCTGTACGTCCTAACACGGTTGGTCTGTCTTCCCTCCCGGCCAGTTTTTGTCTCCAACCGGTCAGTTTTTGAACCCTCCCGATCGGTCTTTGCTCCCTCGCCGTCGGTCTTGGTCTTCAGCCCCGGTTGATGCCCAGTTTTCTGTGCCGTCCGGTACTCAGTCCTCTGAGCCGTCTGATGCTCCACCTTCTGAGTTGGCTGCTGCTCCACCCTCTGTGCCGGTTGACGGTTTACGCTCTGTGTCGGCTGGTGTTCAGCCCTCCGTGTCGGCTGGTGCTCTACCTTCTGTGCCGGCTCGTCATCAATAATTGTCACTTCGTCAGAGTCTGAGTCAAGCACAATCGGGGCGGGGATGGAGCGCTGGACGCCGTCGCAGAGCACCTTTTGCGGTCGCGGCGCTGACGCCGAGTCGTCGGCCGCGCGTGACCGTTTTACCGGTGCGGGACGGTCGCTGGGGCCCGGCGCGATCTCTGCCAGGAAGTCGGGGTCGTCACAGTCGGAGGTGTCGGAGTCGCTGGACGCGGCGCACTGCCGGTCGGCCGGGTCGCTGGCTCGGCTGAGGCGGCGCAGTTTCGAGGGAGAGCTGCGTGCCACGGCCACCATTCGTCTCGGCCGGGGACGATTTCGGGACGGCTTCCCGTCAGCCGCTGATGAAGTGTGGGTGACGGCGGACGCTGAGGAAGCCTGCGCGGCAGAGGGCGCCGCTGTTTGTGCGACACCAGGCGCTGATGGTTGCGCGGTGGCCGGCGCGGTCTGAGCTAGTTCGGGGGCTGCGGCCGGCGTCTGGCGGGGCCGAGTGACGGTGACTGTCCGGCGCTTCTCCAACGAGTAGGTAGTCCACTCCGGCAGGTCGTCCTCGCACGAAACCTGGGGACAACGTAACACAAGTTACACGAATAGAATACATATTACATATGCCGTACCATACTGCCTCGTGGACCCTCACTAATGTGAAATGAATGGTAATAGTTTGTGCTGTTGAATTCATGGGTCATCAGCTGCCCATGGATACTCACTGGTTGTCTATTCCGCCTGAAAGTGTGCTGATGCTCACGGCTAATTTCCCTCAGTTACGGAAAACTATCCTCCCGACATTGACCCGTCTTAGTGACGGTGCCGGTGGAGAACTTGGCTGCCCGCTTTCTCGACCCAAACATTGCGTTAGTACGATGATCGGAACGGAGTTGCAGTGTATTTTCATCGAGTCTGTGTATTCCTTACGAATGGATGTGTTTCACTGAACTGCGAACGTATCGAGCACAGGAATGGAAAATAATTCGTCGAAGTATTAATGTAGCGAATGGGATCGCTCCTGATCGACTCTGCGGCTAGCTCACTGGGTCTTTGCAAACGTAATATCTTCGTCACCAGTCACAACACTATTACATCATTGAATTAACAAAACTTTTGGGTGTGGTCGCAGTAGCGGCGGAACACCTTCAATTATGGGGGCGGGCACTGCCGACTTATGGTCCCATTCTTTCCATGCAACGCCCATAAGGCTAATGTTAAAATGTAAAATCAAAGGGGGGCACGGTGCCCCGGTGCCCTCCCCGTTCCGCCGCCTATGTGTGGTCGGGGATATCGCAGTCGGGTCGGGCTAGCACAGAACACCAGATGGGTCGGCGCAGGGCGACTGCCGGGTGGGCGGGTGTGGAACGACCGCCGGGTGGGTGCAGAACTGAGAACGACCGCCGGGTGGGTGCAGAACGACCGAAGGGTGGGTGCAGAAGTGCCTGGGACGCCACGGCCATGACGGCGGTTCGCAACTACCAGCGGTAGCTGCGAACATATCGAGCAACTTCTTCCGCTGGTAGAGAGGGACCGTCAGGGTGGAGCTGGTTCGGCCCATCTCAACACCCAACAACCAGGTCGTTGCAGCCCCCGAGACTTGGCCGCAGGTGAGTGGGATCAGAAATGAATGTGTTTGGTAGAGACTAGAGGAAGTGCTGAGGTTAGCTAGGAAGGAGCGAGACCGAGAGAATGAGAGCGAGAGAGACAGAACGACTGATCTAATCTGATCAGGAGGCAGACGCGAATGATGAATGAATGATGTTCCGGACTCGGTCGAGAGGTAGGTTTTCAGGGGAAATGTGTCTAGTCCTGGCCAGCTGGCACCTACGTAGGCAACGATCTTCTCAGATACTGGTCATTCGGCTGTGGCAAGATCGGGCAGAACATTGGGTGACGCGTCCCGGTCAGTAAATCGCTGGCGGCGGGTGGTGCCCTCGGTTGGCGGACGATATCGCGTCAGATCGTGTCGTAGCAAAGCAGCACGTAGGACGCTCCTGACAAGTCGACCCCTGCCCAGTACCCCGTGATGATTCCCACTTCTATATCCGACATCTGTTCATCATGCGCATGCGTATTCAACGGATGCGATGGCAGTGACCCCTCCCTGATAGTGGCGATGCTGTTAAGGGGAATGTTTAGACCTACCGGGCTAGAATGGTCCTCCCCACCCCCACCTCCTTGTACGGCATTTCCAGAAGCCCTGTCGGTACGCAAACGCGAGAGACAAATTCATCGAAGAGCTGGTCTGTATTTGCGAACAGACAAACATGTACACGGCACCGAGTACAGCAATATCTACACAGCCATCCCTAACTAGTCACATCCATCGAACGAAAGAGCAAATGCCGCCACACGTCAGCCTACCGCGCCTCCATAAAACGCTGCACACACAGGGACACGGGGCGAAGGACAGGGGGAGGGGCACATGCGCAGCCTGTCAGCCACCGACGTCCGACAAACAGCAGCTTCGTTCGCGGCGAGCGGGCGAGCGCGCAACAGCCTTGAGTGGCGCCAGCGGGAGTACTACAAAACAGAACGCCTCAGCTGGCGAGAACCTGAACCAGGAAATACGATCGCCGCCGACACGCAACAGCCCGTGGAACGTGCAGCGTTGCCGAGCGTGCCTCTGTACACCGCGGAGTCATTATGCCGCAACACGTCGCTAGTCCAACTTTGCTCGCTTGAAGAATGAGTCGATGCGGGGCTGGGTCTTGTCCGGCGTCAGCGTTCGCTTTTTGCGCGTGCTGTGCTGACTCTGACTGTGGGCGATGAGCAGCGCTTTGTCCGAGAACCTCGCCGAACACTTCAAACACTCGAATGTCTGCGAACTTTGTACACTGGCAGTAGCAGCGGGGGCGGCCGGCGGGTTGACCGCTGTGGTCCCCGCCGAGCTGGGCCTGTCGGGCGCCGGCGCCGGCCGTTCCCCTTCATCAGACGCGGCGCTGCGGCCGGCGCCGGCCGGCGGCCTCTCGCCCCCGTCCGCCGGTGCGGCAGCCCGGCCCGGCAGCACGTACTGAGACTCGTCGGCCTCATCGTCTGACAGCTGCAGCGGGTCCTCCTCGGCCGGGGAAGCCGTCGGCTGCTCAGAGTCGGAGGCCGCTGTCGGATCTTCAACAGCCGCACCAATTTTCGACCGCTGGCGCTTCCGGTAATGTGCGTACATGTTTTCATCCATGGGTGGACACTGGCTGATCCAGACGTGCTGTTCGGCCCCCACTCGGTCACGGCAGGACGAGTGTGCCACGTGCGGCATCATCAACCAGGTCTCATCGAACTGCCTAGAGCACCCAGGACACACATGTCGCTGGCGCCCACTGGCTAAACGTTGCAAGGTCTGCTTTGCGAACGCAAGATATGCGTAGTAGGCCTCACCGTGCTTATCCATCATGTGCTCCCTCATTTGCTTCCTCTGCCCTCTGATCAGGCAAAAGTGACACCAGAATTGACCAGCCATTGTGCCGGGCCTTCTTTTCGGCGACGTTTTGCGGCGGGCTGGAGCGGAGGCGGCCGGCGGGTTGACCGCTGTGGTCCCCGCCGAGCTGGGCCTGTCGGGCGCCGGCGCCGGCCGTTCCCCTCCCCCATCAGACGCGGCGCTGCGGCCGGCGCCGGCCGGCGGTCTCTCGGCGCCGTCCGCCGGTGCGGCAGCCCGGCCCGGCAGCACGGACCGAGGCTCGTCGGCCTCATCGTCTGACAGCTGCAGCGGGTCCGCCTCGGCCGGGGAAGCCGTCGGCTGCTCAGAGTCGGAGGCCGCTGGCGGATCCTCAACAGCTGCGAAGATCTTCATCCGCCCAGGCCTCTTGTCACCGCCGTACATATTATCCTGAATGGGTGGACACTGGCTGATCCAGACTTGCTGTTCGGCTCCCACCCGGTCACGACAGGACGAGTTTGCCACGTGCGGCATCAGCAGCCAGGTTTTGTCGAAATGTTCGAAGCAGCCAGGACACGAATATCCTCGGCGCCCACCGTGAGTAGTTCGCGTGTTCTGATTGGCGAACGCAAGAAATGCGTGGTAGGCCTCACCGTGCTTTTCGATCATGTGTACCTTCATTTCCCCCCTCTGCCCTCTGATCAGGCAGAAATGACACCAGAACTGGCCAGCCATTGGGCCATGACTATTCATCGGCGGTGTCTTGCGGCGGGCTGGAGCGGGGCGGGTAGCGGGCCTGGCGCCACCACTAGGAGACGCGCCCACACTGCCTGTGCGTGTGCCGGAGTCGGTGGTGCGCAGTTTGATCTTGAGCGGCGCCACGCGCGGCGCCGTCTCGGCCGCCGTGGGGTCTGCGCTGGGGTCGGTGTCGCTCTTCTCCAGCCAGGGCTCGGCCGACGGCCCGAGCTGCTGCCGGCAGGCGGCAGAGCGCACCAGGTGCAGATGAAACGACCACAGACGTTTGTTCTTGAACGGGCAGAATGGACACAAGTATAAGCCGCTCCTGTTGTCGCAAGAGCGGGCGAACTGCATGAAAGCGCCGTGCGCCTGCCGGTGAACGGTGTTCTGGTGGATACGCACTTTGTCCCTGGCGCCGGACATGGGGCAGTAGTGGCACCGGAACACCATTTTCGCGTGGCGAACGGCGGATGTCTGCCTCACCTTCAGAGCCTGGAACCCCGGCACGGTTGGCCGGTTGGCCGGGCCTGCTTTGAAGACGGTGCTTTTGGCGGTCTTCGGCGGCGAACCTGTGAACGGATCTTTTCCCTCCAACTTGAGCTGCCAGTGATGTTCCTCGGTCAGGTGAGCCACCAGATGCTCAAACGTCAGCTGCAGGTCGCACTGGGCCACCGGGCACAGGTAGGGCTCGTCGCGCGGTCCGGGCACGCCGCGCACCGCCACCGAGTGGCATGCGTGCATGTGTATACCGCCCACGGACTTCACCGAGCACGAGCACATCCGATACAGCGGATTCTTAGCCGTTGACCGGTTCACGATCCACTTGTGTGTCCGCACAATGTGCTTGTTGCGACGGTTGTTCGAACGGAACGAGGCGTCGCAGCTGCGGCAGTGCAGCGGTAGAAGCCCTTTGTGAAAGAGAGCGAGGTGCCTGGCCCCGGAAGGCGCGCAGCAGTACTTGACCGGGCACATGGATTCCGGCCGATTCAGTCCCGAGTGGTTAATCAACGCGTGCTCCTCGTACTCGGTGGGGATGTCGAAGAAATCGTCGCAGAACGGGCATGCAATGATGGCGGCCATCGCCTCGGTTACTCCGTCTGCGGGTTTAGCAGTCGCCTTCCTGCGCGGGACGCTTGACGAGCTGCCGGCCACGGCCGGTGTCAGCACCGGCGGCTCGGCGCCTGCTCCGCCCGTCACCTGCATCACTGTGATCGAGTCGAGGAAGTTGCGGTTGTCGATCCGGTTGACGCCGAACGCCTCCTCGCCGTCGGTCTTGATGCGCCACATGTGTGTGGTGCTCAGGTGGTCCACCAGCTCACGGAAAGGGAGCTTCTCCAGGCAGACGGGACAGTCGTACGGCCGAGACCGGGGGCCCGGGTAGCTGCGCACCTGCACAGAGTGGTTGTGCACGAAGTGCATCCACAGCAGCGACTTGTTGGACTCGCACTCGCTGCCCACTGCGTCGCACACGCACTCGGCCCCGTCGCCCACCTGGACACCCAGCTGCATCTGCGACTTGTGACTGATCTCAGCGTGTACGCCGATGGAGCGCTCCGAGCGACCCATCCTGTCGCAGAACGAACACTTGTGCTCCAGCGCGGCGGCGCCCTTGTGGAAGGTGGCGATGTGTTTCTCGGTGGTGGCCGGCGAGGACATGTTGTAGCAGTAGCGGAACGTGCACGTGCTGTCCGTGATGCCGTTGGAGCCCGAGTGCGCCAGCCGCATGTGGCGCATGTAGCGGTTGAGTGCCAGGAAGAACGCGTCGCAGAAGGGGCAGTCGAGTCGGGCGGGGTCGTCGATCAGCTCGCTGATGCGGTGCCGGCCGGAGAAGGCGCGAGCTGCGTCCAGCTGAGGGACCAGCGCCGGCGGCCGGGGGTTGGCCGGCGGCAGGGCGGTCACCGACACAGAGCGCGGCAGAGACGCCACTGCTCGGGAGGCAGCCGCTGGCGACGACACCGAGTCCAGCGGCGGCAGCAGCCCGCGGCTCCTGTACACCTTGGCGTTGACCTTGGCCAGGTCCGTGCCGCTCTCCTTGAGGCGCCAGGAGTGGTCTGCGGTGAGGTGCGCCTTGAGCTCCTCGTATCTCATGCTCACGCCACACTCGAAGCACCAATAGGGCTGCGGCCTCGGCCCGGGCGGCGACCGGTACGAAGGGAAATGGTGCGTGCACAGGTGCTCGAGCGACGAGCGAGTCTTGCTCAGGTCGCAGCTGCATACCGCCTTCCCCATTAGAGTCCGCACGGGATTAGTGACACTGTGCATCTTCTTCATGTGCTCCCGCAGATAGCCTTTGGATGTGAATACACCATCGCACTTACGGCACCCCACTGTGCGCTTGGTCAGGTTCTTGTGGTAGACATGGGTGTGGCGACGATCATTTGCCAAGTAACAGTAACGAGCCCAGCATAGGCCCTCCGGGTTCTGGTGGTTGGAGCTTTTTAACCCAGCGTGGTTCTTCCGGCCATGCATCCTGTAATCATGCTCGTTGCTGAAGAACGCGTCGCAGAACGCGCAGTCGTAGATGGTGCAGCCCGAGACGGCGGCGCTGGCGGCGGACGAAGAGCCCGAGGCGCCCGCTAGATCAGCGGCCGCGGAGGACGTCAGGTGTCGCCCAGCCGCCTGCTTCACCAGCTTACCGGCCAACGCCACGGTGGTGCTCGGCTTGCGCGGCGACGGCTGAGTTTTTCTCTCCCTGGCACCCGCTCGGGAGTCCAGGAAGGTCCACTGGTGATTCTCCTGCATGTGCATGAACAGGCACTCGAACGAGAAGGTTCGATAGCAGAGCGGGCAGCCTACCTCCATGTCACGCACGTGGACGGGACTGCGGTATTCGACACCCGGACTGAAGGCCCAGCCGTGGCTCTGCTGCATGTGCTCAATCAGCTTGTGATACTCCAGCTTGAGCGGACACTTGGGACAGGTGTAGGGGGCGGCGCGCGGGCCCGGAAAGCCGCGCACCAGCACAGAGTGGTAGGCGATCAAGTGGTGTTTGATGTTTCCGAGCTCGCCGCCGCAGCGAAGATTGGAACACCAGCAGTGGCCGTCCTCACGCAGCTCGAACGCCGGCACCGACTCGTCGGCATGCTGGCGAGTCGTGTGCACGCGCAGGTCCTCGGCGCACGTGTACGTGCTGTCGCACTGGCTGCAGCGGAACGAGCGGTCCTCGCTGCCCTTGTGGAACAGCTTGTCGTGGGTGGGGGTCGACTCGGCGCAGCAGAAGCGGAAGCGACAGACGACGTGGCGCGTCTCGGCGCCCACCAGGTGGCTGAGCATCATGTGGCGGTCGTACATCCGTTTCGAGTCGAAGAAGGCGTCACAGAACGGACAGTCGAGACGACTCTGGGCGTTGCCGCAGGCGATCAGGCAGCCGGCGGTCACCACCCTGCCGGACCCTTCGGCCTCCTCCGGCTCGCCGCTGGCTCCAGCCACTTCCGGCTCCTCGCTGGCGCATTCTTCTCCTGGCTCCGTCTTCACGACCGCGCGATGCAGCAGCTCCGGTTCGATTTTCACGGGAGACTGGGTGGCGGCTGGACCATCGCCCTGCTGTCTGTGGTAGCGGGCGTGCGCCTTCACGTTGAAGACCATCTCATTGCAAATGGTGCATAGTGTTTGGCAAGAAGCGGGATCCAAGTTGTGGGTGACCACCATGTGCTTGCACATCAAGTTTTGATTCGTGTTAGAGAAGAAGCACAAGTGGCAGTGAAATGGTCGTTGGCGACCGAGGCGCTCGTACTGGGCCGTGTGGAACTTCATGTGCACCCGCACGCACTCCTTGGTACCCTCTTTTCCGCAGAGTTTACACCGATGGTCCGCATCTTTGGAAGTGGACGCAGTCAGCGGGATAGGGGCCGGCATTGCCATCTTATCACCAGACATAGTCAGGGCAAAGCTCGGCGCCGGATGACGCACCAGCTTGGGTCGACTGATGGCGCTGCTTTTGATGCTGCGGCTCGTCCGCATCGTCAGGCTGGTCGACTTTTTCACCTTTTCCTTCTCGGGCAGGCAGTTGTGTCTCTGTGGGCTGTACATGAACCGACGGCACGAGGGGCACGCTCTCTGGAAGGTCTGGTAGGGCCGATTGTGTACGCTGGAGATGTGTCTGGCCACCCTCTGGCTGCGGTTGGCAGCGAAGTAGCAGAACGGACAGTGGTAGGCCATTGGGCGCTGTAGGCGCTCCGCCTCGGCCGAATGCCAGTACAGATGAGTTTTCATCAGAAAGGGCGTTCTGGTCACCTTGCGGCAGTGGGGACACCTGTACTTGCCGCCGGACAGCGCCGTGGCCGCCACCTCACTGTCGGAGACGGCCGACGCCATCACAGACTGTGACGGCATGCGGGTGACGGGGAGCGGTCCCGCTGGCAGCGGCGCCACACTGCTCTTCGCCACTGGGGGAGCGGGCGACGGGGTGCGCGTGACGGCCGACGCCGGGCGCGGCGCCGGAATGGCGGTGGTGACAGCGGCGGCGGCCGGCCCGGGCAGCGCGCCCTGCGTGCGCCGGTGGTGCAGCGTGCGGTGGCGGGTCACCAGGTACAGCTGGCCGCTGCCGAAGTGGCAGTCGGCGCAGTGGTGCGGCCGGCCGGCGTACTTGTCGCGCGCCGCGGCCGAGTGCAGGAACTGGTGGGAGGCGATAGCGCTGTTCGTGCGCAGCACAGCCCCGCACTCGTCGCACACGAAGTCGGCGACCTGGGCGTCGTCCGGCGCGCTGCTGCTCCGCTCCCCGGCCGGCGCGGCCGCGGGCGCCGACGACTGGCCCGCCTGGTCGGCACTCGACGCCATGATCACCTTGAAGTTCCTGGCGATGGTGCGGCCCTGGTCCAGCGTGACCTTGATGTTGCGCCGGTGCAGCAGGAGGCGGACCATGAGCGCCTGCGCCTGCTGGAACGTGCTGTCCACGTAGGAGGCCCACTCCTCGGCGCGCAGGTCCGGGTGGTGGTCGAGCAGGTGGAACGAGCCCCACTGGCTGGTCGGCTGCTGACAGATGCGGCAGTAGAACAGCGCCTCCCCCGAGTGGCTCTGGTAGTGGTAGGTGAGCTCGCTGAGCAGGCGGAAGTCGGCCCGACAGCCGGGACACTGCAGGGCCGAGAGTGCGGCGCGCAGCTCGGCCAGCGGCGGCAGGCCGGCCAGCTGCAGACGCTGCCGCTCGCTGGCCGTCGGCCGCGGCGCGGCGTTACTGGCCGCGGCGCGCGCCGCCCAGCGCGGCGGCCCATCGGCGGGGGCGGCGGCCAGCGGTCGCGCCGCGTCGTCGACAGCGGTGGCGTCTCGGCGCCGCGCCGCGCTGTAGGTGCTCTGTCCGCCCGCCTCCGCTGCCGCCTGTAACACACGGAACGCCCCAGCGGCGACTCAGTCGGCGGCCAGCGGAGGCGGGCGGACGCAGCCGCAGCGCGGCACAACGCGCGCGGTCCGCCGCCACCGACAGGCACACTTCGCACACACGCATACACATAACGGGCCAAACGCAAAACCTGATATACTCGCGTACTCACGAAGACCAATAAGGCAGAATCAGCCAACAAGTGAAGCGGTTGATAAATCGCGGGTATTTCGATTAACCCGCGCCCCGTAGGGGGGGGGGCCGAAACGGCCCCCCCCCCCCTGTCCTTTTCGGTCGATATCTCCTAAACGGCTGGAGATATTGCCACCAAACTTTCAGGACCCTTCCGGGCATCAATTTTACACATTGTGACCAAAAATTTTACCAGAGGCTATGATAGGTTGGCCACAAATGACGTCAGAGTGACGTCATGTTCTGTCATTTTCGACCGAAAAAAGACCTTCGCGAGAAGACCTGTCAGGACTACAGCTTTGAAGATACAGAAAAATGATCAAGACATAAAAGGTGTAGAATTGACAGGGCTACAAAACTGCTATCTCGAATTTTTAAAATTTTTGAGTTTTGACCCCCAAAAATCAAAAAAGCATTTTTTTGGATATATTCGCCAAAAAATCCAAAAAGTTTTTTGAGTTTCGAAAAAACCGGAATATATGTGATAGTGCCTACCGTCTTCTATCTACATACCAAATTTCAGATCGATACCTCGTTTTTTGGCCAAGTTATAGCGAAAAAACTGTTCAAAAATGATGACGTCAATTTTTCAAACTCAATTTTTGGCAATTCAAGAACTCGTAGAGCAAAACGAAGACCACCATTAGACTCCCCGTGACGAGCTGCATCGAATCGATACCCATTTTATGCAAAAATATCAACTTTGAAATTTGACCTAATTTGACCTGACCTTGACCTGACCTTCACCAAAACGTGACCTAGGCTGGCCCCAAAGGCTGCCTAACCCACATAATCGCATTTGTCATGTAAAATGGACCATAAAACATGTATCACACGACACATTCATATTGTGACCCCCGGTGACCTGACCTCGCTGTGACCTGACCTGGTATCACTGACCTCAGATAGCAAAGTATGTGTTTGACGAACAATGTACCATCGATGGTTTTCAATAAATTACCAATTTACTCGCTTTCACAGCACATTTCTTGAATTGTCTGTGAACGGTGAAAATCTGACCTTTGACCTGACCTGTGACGTCATCGGTTTGACCTAGGTCAATGAAATTTGGTCACAAGGTAGTTCCCGGGTGGGGCTATCGAACGCCGTTTGAATTTTGAAAATCGGCCGGTAACTTTCCGAGATCTTAGGGGGGGCCGAAACGGCCCCCCCCCCCTACGGGTGGTAGGGTCCGCCGGTAGCCCTACGGGGCGCGGGTTAAGAACTTTACGAAAGCACTCGAAAAATGAAAAAGAAGAGGCTGCCGGTACTATGCCAAATCTCGTGTTGATCACCAAAAATAATAAGGCAATGGCTATGAATATAAGATTTAGATGGGAAGCTGAAAAGCATCTGTTCTGAAACCGCAGCCATGGTACTGATATAATAGCAGTGCGCATTAGCCTCATAGAACGAGCTGCAACGCCACGTAAGTACAATGTGTTGTCATGGAACTGGGTGGTAAATCAACGCTTCTTGTAAAACCAAAACACTTGGCAAAACGTTATTTTTCAACTATCATAACCACCCTTTTTGCGCCATAAGTCGTGTTTCAAATCAAGTCTGGTGGACCGTCATCTGTACGCCGTATATAATTTTTGCTTTCGGTTTCGGGACATTCAAGTAAATATTTCACGGAATTTTCTAGTCCGGGCTTTCTGGGCCGTCAGAGACCGAGACCACTGAAAAAAGACGAGACCAGACAGATACCACTGTTGAATGTTCATTCCGCTTCAAACGAAGTCACATCTCTGTTATTCGTTCGACTCCAGAACGTTGCACAGTGCACGTGCCACTCAACACCCACCCCACCATCGTCGGCTTGAAAGTAACTCAACTTGATAGACACCTCGAAAAATGGGAAAACGAGTGAGAAACGAGTAATGGAAGGTAACATCATTATTTGTGGAAGGCAGATTTTTTCCTATAAAAATGCGATATGATATAAAGTGCAGTTCCTAGTAATTATGTGACATGTATTTACAACTCACTTGGACATGATATAAGCCAGTCGAGACAGATGTAGATGGTCGTTAGCAACTTTTCTTAAGGATCACCATATATCGTTAGCAAAGCTTTAACACGCGCAGTGGAAGGGTTGCGAGTACTACGCCCAGTGGAAGGGTGGGGGGGGGGGCGGATGCCGCCCCCCCCCCGGCCGACGCGGGAAACGCGGCAATCACAATTTTGTGTTTACACACTCATAACTCAAGTTGTTACCGGCCGATTTTCAAAATTCTTTGACCATGATATTGCCTGTACATTTCTTAGTCTTCTCATAAAATTTGACGCGAATCGAATATAATCAGCGGTAAGGAGCGCGATGTAAAGACGGAAACGTCCCGCCCCGGCACAGTCTACAATTCAGGCGGCGCGTAACGGCTAGCGCCGGCCGCCGCGCCGCGGCGGCGGCAGGATGTTTGACTTTACACCGCTATTTCTAGAAAAGTTGTGACCCGATTTTCTTATTTCTTGCACGAGAAGATCCGCAGTTAAATTCTGGACAGGTAGCCGAAATTTCACATTCTTATTATGTTTGCGGCGCGAGCTATTGGCGAAAAACAGGAGGGGTGGGCGGAATCGGCCCCCCCCCTTCCACTGCGCGTGTTAAGATAGCAACTTTATGTTAAGATGGAGAATTTGATTTACATTTTTCACCGAGGTGGGTCGTTGCAGGAAGCGAGTGGCAGATTGAGGACGGGGTTCAGCGGTAGTGTTCGGTCCCGTATAATGCTCAGCCGCCCCAACCGCCCCCTGAAGCTGAGGCACATGCGACTTCCAATGCTAATTCTCGCCAATGGCCGATTCGCACAAGACTTGCTTGTCAGACATGTTTGATTGAACTGCGTAATAATGGTACGATATTTGAAGTGAATGATTTAATTGTGTACAAGGCTGTAATATTGCGTAAAATGTACATAGCTATCGGACTATTTTCTCATAGAACTGGTGAAAGCAGCCTAAACTGTATAGCAGAAGTTACAAAATAAATTTCATTCTGAGTCACTGACGCCTGATATTTTCTCGCGTCATTCAATTAAGTTCATCCCCGCCAAATTTGTCCTGAGTATCGTCCCTTAGTTTCAGCAGTACCCTCCACGGTCCACGGTCGACTCTTATGCAGCTCCCGTCCAATAACCCACTCCCTCACATGATTCCGCTCCTATCATCTCATCCGCTCCACTATCCACCCAGTCCCCACTCCGCCCCCGTCCACCCTGAGCGTTCTTAAGTTGGACTTTGGTTGGGCGTGAGAATGAAGAAAAGAAATCCTAAGATAAGAAAAGGGAAGTAAACTCATACAAACTTTTCGCAAAAGGGTGTCATCAGTAATGCCAGTTATCGTCAATTGATAAAGCAGGATTTCATGCCAGGATCTTGACAGTATTTGAAAGAAAATGATGTGGATGCATTAACTGTCAATTCACATGTAACCTTGCTGTTCGTATGCATGGAACATGTTATTCAAATAATGCCAATTTTTCTGAATTTAAAGACGAAAATACTTTCCTCACTAGCTGTGATTTTCCAACCAAAATTCTGACCAAATGGAACACTGGCATCCACTCACCACATGATTCTCGGACCAGAGCCGCAGCTCGGCCTGCGCCACATCCTGAACTGAGACCACGGCCTCTGGCAGCAGGTCCTCGGCGCTGAACGCCACCGGCCGCCGGCCGGGCTCCCGCGCCGCCAGCCGCGCGCCCGATACGGGCCGCGTCTGAACCTGAGAGGAGATGAGGAATGGCGTAAGAGCAGGCTGGGAGAAACCACAGGTGCCCAGATCACGCACCTGGTAAAGGAAACGAATGGCGTCTGAACCTGAGGGAGCGGACGGCAGAGTCAGTGCTGTGAGGGAGAATCAGGGGGGGGGGGACAATCATACGCAGGCCACGAACAAACACGGTGTTATACGAGATGTGAAGCGAATCGGCCGTACTTACACCTGAGCACGAAAGACGGCTAACGGCCGGGGAAGGCGGTAATCAAGCACGCGCATACGAGTAGTCGGTTGGCCTGTGCCTTTACCTGCGAAACACTTTGTGCCTTTACATAACACCCAAGCTCTTTCCCTTGCCTCCTGCAGCCTCTGCCCTGCTTCTCACCGACAGTCCTGAGAGCGGGTTGACGGTGAACTTGATGAGTCGCTCCGGCTCGTCCAGCTGAGCCAGCACCTCGTGCAGTGAGAGGGCAGCCGTCAGCAGGGGTGCCGGCGGCGCGGCGGGCCCCGAGCTGCTGCCCTCACCGGCCTGAGGAAACAGTGGTGTGGGCGTGAGTCAAACCGTGCGTAAAATTCGCCGCACCATGGCCACATCCATGAATGACGAACAGAAAATGGATAAGTCGTTGATATTTATTAGAAATTAGAGCTCAGATACATAGAGTTCACGCAACGCAAAACGAAAATGCCAGCACGATGCAAGAGACAATAATTATGGTAAATCAAGTCTCAGAGTCATTCCCCCGCTCTACTGATCTCATCGCCTGACCTGCGGCAGCGGCGGCGGCGCCCCCGCTCCGGGCGGCGCCCGGCTGGCTATAAACTCGCGCAGGGTGCTCTTCTTGTTGGCCGGGGCCGGCTCCAGGGTACAGGACGGACACGACCACACGGTGACCGATTCGTCCAGGTCGGAGCACGCCAGATGGGTGCCGGCCGAGCCGCACGTGCCGCAGACGCACAGCCGCCACGGGCTGGGGGAGAGGGGAGACGTTAGACACGCAAAGCACACAACAGTCACACAGGCAGATTGGGTGCGGAGGGGGATGAACGTTAGACAGCACACACAGAGCCGCTACGAACTAGAGGAACAACAGTAACTAACGCCGGGTCGGGCCCAGCTCACGGGTACACAGGTTGGTGAGGTTAGTTACATCCGACAAACGATCATAGACCGACCGTTAGCTGAATAAGAATTAAATATGGACGGATCTAACATCTGCGCCACACACTTCCCTCGATCGACGGAATAATCAATTCACCATATTTTGTTTGTTTTGTTGGGTTAGGCCCTTTCGGTCGACAAGACCATTGCAGAGCCGGAAGGATGATAGGATTTAGGGGGAGACATTGGTCTGGGCAGGCACCCTAGTGAGTCGCCGGGGCTGAGCCCGTCCAGAGGACAGGCCACCCAGCCCCAAGGCACTCACTGCACCCGGCTACGGGGTGCGCTCCCTCGGGAGCAGCGGTGCCGCTCCAAGGGAGCAGCCCGCATGAGATAAAATTGCCTGTCCAGCCCGGAAGGGGGTTGTGGCGTGGAGGAGAAGGATTTCTGTTTCCTGAGGATAGAAGCACGGATAGGTGTGAATTCACCATATTCACTCGCTGCGCCTGCATCCCTTACACTTCACTCATACCCTTTCCAGCTACCCTACAGCGTATGTACTTACGTAGAGTAGAGCGCTCTCTCTGTAGCTCGGAGATCGCCAGACCACCCACCTGTCCGTATCGTTCTCCTGGTGGGAGCGTCCCTGACTGCAGAGGCAGTAGCGGACGTCGCAGACCAGGTGCCGCTCCAACAGCTCACCGAACGCGTTAGGGACCATCTCCCAGCTGGCGTCCCTGTAGGAGGGACAGAGCCGGCGTTATACATTTCCGAAATAGGTAGGGTACATACATCATATTGTCCACCAGCTAATATTTGTAGGAAACATAGGGGGGTCAATCTGCCTTAGACACGCCTTTCCTCAAACGGTGTTTGAAACCAAATGCGAAGCATGATAAATGACGGAAAATGTTTTCACAAAATCTGTTACGTCAAACACAGACCTATAAGTGAAGACTTGCACATAATATCGAATACAAACCTCTTTGGAATGAAGATGCCGAAGTGCCGCATGTGTTTGAGGAAGCCGCTGACGTTGTCCTTGTTGCGGCAGCCGGGACAGTAGAAGAAGTAGCCAAAGTGGTAGGCCATCCTCTGTGGCGGCGGGGAACAAAGTCTGGCCGTCAATCGGGTCCCATGCGGTCACCAGGCGCCAGGACACAGGCATGCGCAGCGTTCAATGCCTATTCCTTATACATTCCCAGCATCAGCTTGAAACAACTCAACAAAACACACCCTTAGCGGCAACACACGACTCCGACGCCGTCAACCAGCCCCCCCCCCCCCCCGTGCCGATGCCCGGCTCCACAGCAGGCGTCTAGCCTGGAGACTTGGGGTGATTATTTGTGATTTTATGGCGCATGGCTTCTCAGAAGTCATCGGGGCTCACCTGTAGACAGGCGCGGTGGAAGAAGTGCCGGCAGCAAGGCGTCCAGAGCACGTTGTGGTCGTCCTCCGGGTCAGTCCGCTCCAGGCAGATGCCGCAGCTCTCACCCAGTTCCCTGCCCACCACGTTCTGACGCGGCCGGTGCTCCTCGCAGAACGACCTACCGAACGAAGGGGGGGGGGGGAGGGTCAGCGGGGGACATTGGGAATTACGTACTCATTTGTTTTATCAAGGGATACAGTTGTCGACCAAAATCGTAAGTACTGGTGCTGATCTATTCAACCAAATGTGACGGAGCAGTAGTGCTCCGTGCGCTGCAGGGTTGAATCGACAATCGTCAAATTAATCAAATTAGCTTGACAGGGAATCAAAATCAGCCACAATTTTCCAACAAAAGAGTCACAGAGGTATAATTTCATTTTCTTTCCAGTGCAAGCGTGATAGGAGAACGATGTCAGAGCATTATCACTTCACTTACTTGAACTGTCCGAAGAACTGCAGGAGGCCGCTGGCCCGGACCGCGCAGCTGGGATGGTAGTGTTTCTTGCACTTCATGCTCATACAGAGCCCAGTGGCGCCACCCTTGGTGCAGTAGCAGCATGACTGGGGGCCACCAGAGGTCAACAGGTCACATATTAGTCAGATGACAAAACGGCGACTTACCCCGAACCGTGGAATCAAAAACGCAGCGTAACATCTACCAAAGCCAAAAAATAGAGCATGGAAATAATTACACCATGCGACGCCAGACGCCTAACGCATCACCTTGTGGATCACCTTTACGTCAGCTTCCACTCACTCCCTCCCCCTCCCTCAATTGGCATCAGCGTTGTTACCCGCCGCTCCTTAACCTTCCAGGCGGTGGGGGGGGGGGGCAATTTTTTGCCCCCTCTTTAGTTTTTTCGATATATCTCGAGAACCGCTGCGCCGATCGTCACCAAACTTTCAGTACCCTCCCGGGAGCAGCTAGCGCACATGGTGACCAAATTTTTTTCCAAAGGCTACGATAGGTTGGCCGCTAATGACGTCAGAGTGACGTCATTTTTGCCATTTTCGACCCAAAAAAGGTTTCGCGGGAAGAGCTGTCAGGCCTACAGCTTTAGAGATACAGAAAAATGTTTTAGACATAAAAGGTGTGGAATTAAAAGAGCTACAAAACTGCTATTTCGGTTTTTCGAATTTTTTGGATTTTGACCCCAAAAAATCAAAAAATAGATTTTTTGAATATAATAGCCAAAAAATCCAAAAAGTTTTTTGAATTTCGAAAAAACCGGAATATATGTGATAGCCCCTACCACCTTCTATCTACATACCAAATTTGAGATCGATACCTCTTTTTTGACCAAGTTATAGCGAAAAAACTGTTCAAAATTGATGACGTCAAATTTTCAAACTCAATTTTTAGCAATTCTAGACCTCGTAGCGCAAAACAAAGACCACCATTAGACTCCCCGTGACGAGCTGCATCGAATCGATACCCATTTTATGCAAAAATATCAACTTTGAAATTTGACCTTTTTTGACCTGACCTTGACCTGACCTCCACCAGAAAGTGACCTAAACCGTACCTGATGGTCTTATAACCAACACCATTGAGTTGGAAATGAAAAACTGGCCATAAAACATGCATCGCATAACCTTAGTAAAGTTGGGCTCATGTGGTGACCCTTGGTGACCTTTGGTGACCTGACCTGTGACCTGACCTGGTATGACCAGTGACCTCTAATAGCAACATATGTACTAGACAACTGGCGCCTTATCGCTGATTTTCGACAAAATGCGTTTTACTCGGTGTTATAGCGCTTTCCCTAGAAGCCCCGTGAACGGTGAAACATTTTATCTTTGACCTGACCTGTGACGTCATCGGTGACCCCGAGGTCAATGAAATTTGGTTTCCCTTGACAAATTTGACAGGGCTATCGAACGTCGTTTGAATTTTCCGGATCCGTCCAGTAGTTTCGGAGATACGGGGGGGGGGGGGCAAAAAAGTGCCCCCCCCCCACCGCGCGGAAGGTGGCTGGTAGGCCCACCGCCTGCCGGGTTAACCCTCGCCGGACCTATGTATTGGTTTTCTACATACGCGCTGGCCGAGGGGGGGGGGTACGAACCCCATCGCCGTTTCGCCCCTGGTGGAGCTAGTTTGTTTGTTTGTTGATTGGGGCTTTAGGGCGCGCCGACTGCTAAGGTCATTTTGCGCCCATATAGCGCGCGTCGCGGAAAAAACGAGCGTGTGTGCCGTTACGAGACGCAGAGATAATACCCAATTTTAAGGTCCTAGGTCAACCGGTGACCTCTGAGGTTAGGTCAAGTGCCCCAGGGTACGGTTCAGTTTTTGGCGAATAACTTAGCAAAAAACGGTCGCAGAGCCGCGATTTTGGCAGCATCGTGTTCTCCTCGCTCAGGCGCGTCGAATGATATACTTTTTATCTGGGTGAGTTCAACTTCGGGTGTTGACCTCAGGTCACGGTCAGGTCAGCACCCCCAGGTCACGAAATCGGTCAAAGTAGGTCATGCCGCATATCATTCGATTCGGCAGTTCTTCCTGAGTCCATTGGTGGCTTTCCCGACTCGCTAGCTCAATTTGATCGGGAGTTATTGACGAAAAACTTATATGACCCTAATGACGTCATTAATGACGTCACGCAAGGTCAACATTGCAAAAGTGACGCATCTAACCTTGCAAGGAGTGCACCAAATCACAATTCTGTGTGCTTGAGATAGTTGGAAATCGTTCCCGGCGCCAGAATAGCAGTTTTCATTTTTCCCCATTGACTTATAATGGTGAGGTCACGAAAATGACCTGACCTTATATGACCATTAAGAAAAATCCGAGATATACAAGTTGTGAGACTAGTAATGGATATTAGATCCTGCAAGTTTCATTTCCCTGTGAAAACTACTCTGGCAGTGAGGGCGTTGCGAAGTTGCGACATCTGAAGCCGTGCATAGGTTCACTTATGACGTCATAGGTCAGTGACCTGACCTGACCCGAAAATGCGGTTGCTGTCAAAAGATCCGGCTTGAATCAAAGGTCAGGTATGCCAAGTTTCAGCTCTCTATCCCCAGCACGTTCGGAGCTATCGTGAAAAAAAAACCTATGGGGGGCGGCACTCGCCCCCCCCCCCCTCGGCCGGCGAGGTTTAAAACTGCCCGCGCTGGGCCCATTCTGAGAACCAGTGTCACCTTCCGTGCTGCCTCACCTGAGAACGACCACTCACCAGTCAATCACAGTGCTGCTGGAACTGAGAAAAACTTACTTACCGTACTGCTGCTCCTGAGACCGATTCCTCGCAGTGCCCTGCCTGATCCTAGAACGGCTTACCGTGCTGCCTGACATGACAACGGCTTACCGTGCTGCTGCACCTCAGACCGACTCTTGGCCGTGCTGCTAGACCTGATGACGAGTTAGTTACCGTGCAGCCTGATCTGATGACGAGTTACTTACCGTGCTGCCTAATCTGACAACGAGTTACTTACAGTGCTGCCTGATCTGATAGTTACTTACCGTGCTGCCTGATCTGACGATCTCCTTCCTGATGTCGACGGCCAGGAAGCCCTCTGCGCCCTCGTCATCCTTGCCGTTCTGGGCCAGGTTCGGCGAGAAGAGCTGCAACAGCAGACACGCACACGTGAGTTGACGTCGGAAGGACGGAGCAGCGGTACTAACTACACCTCAGTTAGTACCGCTTAGATGTAGCATCTAAGGTAGCTGTCTTTGCATAGGTTCTTTGTGACGTGTAACAGGTACGCGTCATATAAAGTGATGTATTTAAGACCAAAAAGACGCTCTAAGGCGACAAACGAGTAGGCGAGACAGCCTGCATGTCAGATAGTTCAATGCAAGACCACATGTTGACCAGTGAGGGCCACACTTTTGACTGATCCAGCTATGATCCAAAAGGATCCATGAAGGTGCACTAATTTCGAGCCAAGTGTACCGACAAATGGCCTAGCCGTTCTTATGTATCGGGTTGACCCACATGAGACCCGAAATGATTCAATACATAAGTTCATAGGCAATTGCCAAACCAAAATTTGATTAAACTGTACTGACATTAAATATCTATTAAAGCGTGTCGCTCGAAACGGATCAAGCGCTTCCGCTCATTTTCCTTGTCCCTGCGCCCAATGAAACCATGCGATACGTGTCTTCGTCTATGCGAAAAATTCGAGCGGCGCCGGACGAATCAAATTTCAGATTTTCAGCGGCGCCCGGCGTTGCAGTCTCCATGCTCAATACAGTCTTCGCGGTGACACTAACACAAGCCACGTGGCGAATTGTCGGCTTGCTGCGACCAACGCTATTCGGCGACTGAAATTCCATCGTGGAGTCTTGTTTATACGCATCCTGAGCGATAATGCCAGTGATTTGCATGTGTAGAACAAACCACGGACTCTAACTACTGAATCACTGACCACTGATATCGAGGTTGTAAAACGGTTGGGTGAAAACGTTTCGCCAAGGTATCAGAATTAGTACCTACCGACGGCAAGCTGGGGCATTCCACGATAAATCGTACCATTTTCCCCCAAATTGACACTCTCATCTCTCGGATTTTGACGAGACTTGGTCTCAGGTGTGTCCCCTACGGGGGTTCAGGGGCTCTGAAGTCTGAATCCACTTGTAACAATCTCAGGCTTATCAGATATGGTTTGGCGAGCTGTAACTCTAAGACGGATTATCCAAAGGCCAAATCCTGTACGGCAGTAAGCTTGCAATGAAACAAAGATTAATTTTTGAAATTTTGAAAAATAAACTATTTTTGATATAGGTATGACATCTCAAGTTTGCTTTCATTTGCACTTTTTTGGCCTTTTGGACCAATTTTATAATTCTTATTTCGTAAAAAAAAAACATTTGGCTCATTGTTAAGTAGGTACTATGCAAAAAACTAGGAAGGTGTTCTTTCTATAACATACATACTTATTTTGCGCCATGAAAACGGTCTCGATTAGTTTTGGACGCCAATGACCATAGCTGTCCGAGATGAAAGTAGGAGTATCCTCCAGAGGTCTCATAACTCGTATAGGTATCTCGGACTTTTTTCATAAAGGTCACAACTCACATGAGGTCAGGCCGCTCCCGTGACCTCACCATTATAAGTCAATGGGGAAATATGGGCTATTATTTTGGCGCCGGGAATGATCTTAAACTATCTCAAGCATGCTCAAGCACATGGTACCGTGATTTCATGCACTCCTTGCGAGGTCTGATGCTACACTTTTGCATTTATTATTTTATTTTATTTCATTTTTTGTTCGCACCTCATTGATGACCTTGCATGACGTCACCAGGGTCACAATAGTTTTTTGTCAATAACTCCCGACTAAATTGAGCTTGAGTCGGGAAAGCCATCAATGGACTCGGGAAGACCTTCCGAATCGAATGATATGCAATATGCTCTTCTTCGCCCAACTTCGTGACCTGAGGGGCTCTGACCTGCCCTTGACCCGAGGTCAACTACATACTAAAGTTGACCTCACTCGAACAAAAAGCATAGCATTCGTCACGCCTCAGCTAGGCGAGCACAAATATGCCAAAATCGCGACTCTGTGGCCATTTTTTGCGAAGTTATTTACCAAAAACCGAACCACTGACGGTCATTTGACCTGACCTCACAGGTCACCGTTTGACCTGAGACCATAAAATCGGGTACCAATCGCTGCGTCTCGTAACGGTGCACACGCTTGTTTTTTTCCGCGAGGCTCTAGCTCCATTAGGGGCGAAACGGTGAGCTGGGGTAGAATCAACCCCCAACCCCCGAAACCCATTTAGTTTGCATAAAAATGAGTTACTTAGAGAAGGAAATCCTTTCTAGTTTTATCTTTGCATGTCGATTAGCGCTGACCTGAAATTTATTTTGAAAAAAATAAAATGCAAACAGCTGTGGTGCAAAAGGACATTAGAGGCAAATGAAAAATATTACAATTTTTTTTCGGCAAAGAAAATTCTTTCGAGTTTTTAAAAGCAACATTAATCCTTGATTGATCGCAAGTTCAGTGCTGCTTTACAGTGCTGCTTGCTTGTGTTCAGTGCTGCTTTGCAATGCCGTCTGTCGCTTGCTTTACCCGTTCTTGAGTTATAGCCCATCACATTCACCCTTACAATCCGAAGTTAAAAAATGTTATAAAATACATAACTCAGAAAAAAAATGTATAACTCAGAAAGTTTTATCTGAAGCTGATATTTTGGCACGCGTCTTTGGGGGCCTATGATTACCCCTGGGACCGATTTGTATTCAAATATAAGAGATGAGGGTGACGGGCCCGGTACGTTCTATCGTGGAACGCCCCCGCTGGCTTCTGTTACCATGCATCCAAAAGCTAACCACTTTCACCGCAAGATACAGGAACAACCTTTCTTCTCTGGACCGCGATGGCACAGCTGTCAAAATGTCCAACTACCTACTTATTATGCGTACACTATGTCGCATCGTGACTCATTCAATCAAATGAAACAGTTTATTGCTTTGTCTGCAGTCTTCAATTGGATATGCAAAAATATGTCGTGCGAATTTTGAGTCAAAAGATATTGCAGGAAAACGTTTTTTTTTTCGCAAAAACTCAATTTCGATAGTCTTGACCCTCGCCCGGCCGGAACTATTGGCTTCCTACTATACGCGCCGGCCGAGGGGGGGGGGGAGTTGGTAAGCCCCCCCCCCCTCGGTGTTACGCCCCTGATGGAGCTAGAGGGTCGAGGAAAAAAACGAGCGTGTACGCCGTTACGAGACGCAGCGACTGGTACCCAATTTTGAGGTCTCAGGTCAACCGGTGACCTCTGAGGTCAAGTCAAGTGACCCAACGCACAGGTACAGTTTTTCATAAAAAAACTTCGCAAAAAAACGGTCGCAAAACAGCGATTTTGGCATCATTGTAATTGCCTCGCTCAGGCGTGTCGAATGGTATACTTTCTGCTCGAGTGAGGTCAACTTAAGGTGTTGGCCTCAGGTCAAGGTCAAGTCAGCGCCTCACCCCCCCCCCCCCCCCCCGGTTACGAAGTTGGTCGAAGGAGGCCATATCGCATATCATTCGATTCGGTAGGCCTTCTTGAGTCCATTGGTGACCTTCCCGACTCGCTAGCTAAATAAGATCGGGAGTTATTGACGAAAACCTCTTCTGACCCAGCTGACGTCATAAATGACGTCACGCATGGTCAACAATGCAAAAGTGAAGCATCATACCTTGCAAGGAGTGCAAGAAATCACCATTACGTGTGCTTGAGATAGTTTGAGATCGTTCCCGGCGCTAAAATATCAGTTTTCATTTTTCCCATCGACTTTAATTTTCAACGGTGAGGTCACGTGACCGACCTGACTTCATGTGACCTTTAGGAAAGATCCGAGATATAAAAGTTAGACCTCTGGAGGATATTACATGCTGTAAGTTTCATCTCCCTGTGAAAGTTCCATGATTTTAAGATCATTGGTACGGGGACCCGCAGTTGCTACTGTACAGCGACCCTGAGTAAATTGTTCCAGCATCCTCACAGGGAACAACGATAAGCTGTCAGAGGGCACGCACATGAAAACCTCATCTGCTCTTGTACAGGGACCGGCAGTCTATAGCAATGTTATCGGTTGTTACTGGACAGGACAGACGGTTAGACTTGGGGTTCGTGTACAGTAGCAACTCCGGGTCCCCGTACCATTGCTGTTGGAACGTTTTCAACCAAGAACCTCGGTGTCACGTTTGACGAGAGTATGACGTTCTCAACTCCTGTTTCATATGTAGTCCGCCGCTGTGCCGGAATCTTGATCGGCCTCAGTCACAATAGGCACTACCTACGGATCAGTACGCTGGCCACTCCGGTTCGGGCTCTAGTAGTCTCATCCATCTGGTACGCCATTGTCGTAAATGGTGGATCTGGTGTCACCTAGACGCCTCGGCTCCAACGGCTGATCAAGTTCGGTGCTCGTGTTGTGTCGGGCAGGGGGAGGTATGCGTATGGCCATGTAAGCGAAGTGCTGAAAGTGCTGAAATGGCTTTTGCCTAAGAATATGTGACACAGTCTGTCACGCTCCTAATAAAAATCTCAAGACAGGACAGCCCAAATACCTTTTACGGCGGCTTAGTGTCACGAAGCACATACATGGGCGTGAGTGTGACACACGCCAGACCGACCTGCTCAATTTGTACCTGAGGGCTGTTCACGGGCCCTGTGTGCGGTCGGACCGCACACAGCCTCCAAGCTCCGCCCACTGCGTCCCTACGTCAGCCTTCCGTCACCGCACACAGCGACCGCTGTTGCTGGTCGGGACTGGCCACAGCGGACCGTCCACCGCACGCAGCCGTGACGTCAGAGCCGCCTACCCATCCCCTGCCCCCACGCCTGCTGGACACCCCGCACACACCGCACGCAGCATTGTGCGGTGCCCGTGAACACCCCTCTGAATAGAGCAGAACGCAATCGTGCTCCACCGGGTCCTGTATGCCACTGTATCTACCGCATTACAATGCCCTGCCTCCGATCTCGCCCCACACTCTTCTGGATAGCTATTGCATGAGCAATATGGAGACCCGACCAGTATGTAGCAGTGTGGTGGCACAAATGAAGGATGTGTGTAAATGTGACGTGTGTTGTTTTGTTGTGTTATGTTGTGCCCGCCTCCCATGACTCAGCAGCCAATAATGGCCACTTGGCTTCCCCTGGTGTCATTGCTCTGCGTTGAAGAAAACAAATAATTTAACACATTGTTTCTTAAACTCAGATAAAGATGTAGACAATGTTCAATGTATTTATTTTCTGTCTACAAAGCAGAGGAGTGAAGATGAAACTTACCATGCAGAAGTGATGTACAGTGAGCCCATCAACCTTGAATAGCTGGCCATACTTGAGCTGGTCATCCTCAGCCAGGCCACAGAGGCAGCATGGCTGTACCTCTGGTTCGCCCATCCTCACCGCCAGGTCATCACTGTAGCAAGGAACAACACAACATGAAAATTAAGATACAGTGGGATATATCTAAACTATGAGATTCTGACTCTTGCACTGCTTTCAACAAAATCTATATTACTATTTGTGGTGACGTAGTTTCTGTCTATTACGAAGGTCGCGACATGGTGCTACGTAGCGCGGGTTACAGGTCACACCGTTGCACCTACCGCGCTGAAGTTTGCGCAACTCATAGAACAAGGATGGACAACGTGCCTTTGATGGGTCTCAGCTCGATCGGATCGATAGCGAGCGCGTGGCGCGTGCCCAAAAAGTGCAAATTCGCGTCATAGACTTTACATGTATTAATCGGCTGGCAAAAACGGGCGAAAACAGCCAAATTTGCTCGACACGGGTCCGGTCCCGGTGCAATATCTCGGTAACCGTGGGCCCGACCGGTACGGGGAAAACAGCATCGTGTAGAGAATCGAACGGGCTATCGAATGGTGTGCGGTGCAGGGGTTGGCACGCGCCACGTGCAAGTGTGAGGGCAATTTCATTTCAAAAAGTGCCGTTTTAAACGGATTTTGGATTTTATTTTATTTTCCCGTGACCATCAGACTGAGAGAGTTGAAACAACGTCAATTGGCAAGAGAAATGTACCGCCTCTCATGGAAAAATTGTGAACAGCTAACTGATCAAAAACAATGTGGAAAAAAATCGCTGAATTAAATGGTATTTGTCCATAATGTGCCACTAAAAAGTTACACGGGATTTGCTGCTTAACCTGATACGTTTGACAATTGAAAATGCTATCATTGGAAAGAGCATTCAATTCTCTCCAAGATCCAATCATCACGTTTGCATGACAAGCAACAGTATTCTTAAAAATATAAATGTTTCAAACCTCTGCAAAACGATTTTTAGCGAAAATTATCTACGCCTTTCATTTGTCTTAAAGGGACTATCCCACCTTCTAAAATGTTGTTAAAACCAGTTAAATTGTGCCCGACTTTATAGATTGGATGACCAGGAACACGGTTCTGGCATTTATTTTTCATTAAACATCTTAGGCTTCCCATATTTCAAACACAAACTTTCAAATATGTGACGTCACAGCCCAAAATTACCTCCTTCCCCAGGCCACATTACTGTCATAAAGCTGATTCTTTTTACTCTGTAGGCACCACAACAAAGTTCAGACCAAGTTTTAAGCGATTTTTCAACGAACAAACCCATTTAAATCAGAATGACTAAACGAGGTGACCCCTAGTAGCACATCAACATTGTATCGATGTTGTATCAATATTGACAACAATGTTGTATCGATGTCAATCTGTTAGCCACTTTCAACATTGATACGATGTTGAATTTCGACATCGTATCAATATTGACAGGACAACATTGTACAACATTGTTTCGATGTTGATACAACATTGTCTCGATGTTGATTTTTGGTTGATTCAACATTATCTCGATATTGATTTCTGATTGATTCAACATTATCTCGGTGTTGATACAACATTGTCTCGATGTTGATTCTTGGTTGATTCAACATTGTTTCCATATTGATACAACATTGTCTCGATGTTGTCGACAGACCTATACGTGTACGAAATCACGTATCCCGTAATTATCTAAAATATTCCAGTGTCACCGTCACAGTCAATATTCGGGGGAAAATGTATTTCTATGATATATGCACAGCTCTTCACTTTTTTCGAGTCAGCTACACTTCACACATCACGTCACGTCACACAACCTCGGCCGCCGCTCAGTCTCCGCCATTTTCACATCTTGAGCGGTTGAGTCAGGGCCGTGGGGGTTGAGTCGCCCGTCGAGCCTCGCACTCCTGTAACAAAGCGGAGATTCCTATGTAACAACGGTAATACCTAAATTGGGCCTTTGAGTAAATTCAGTTCAGTCATTTTCAGCTCAGATAATAGATACTTATGTAAGTGCATGTATGACGCATGTACCCTTAATGCATCCCACTACCCTGCATCTATTCTTTTATACTTACCGGGCCCTGTTTCAAGGCATGGCGCTACATTACGCCACCAGCAGCACTTTTTCCCTTTGCCGCAGGCAAGTAAATGACGACGGTGATCGCCACCATTTTGAAGAGAACGTTTCAGCGCCAGTTTTTTTAACTTAGCACTGCAAGAACTAGGATAAATGCACTGATTGTCACACAGCAGAAACTGGCGGAAACCTACATGGTCGGAAGAGGAGACGCAAGACGACACTGGACACCACACACTCAACACACCCGTCCGCACTCTGCGAGCCGGCACAACGGGATGGGGACGCGCGGTCCCCTGTCGCGGTCTCCCCCTCTCTAGCTGGAGGCGAGGATGGGACCGCCCGCTGCCGGCCGCGTCTTCAAAACGGTCAGCGCCCAACGGTCGCTAGATTCCAGTCGGTACGGTCTCTGAAAGAGCTCAGCGCACGACTGGTAGGACCTACCGTGGTCCGTGATACTTGAATGGCACCGGTGGCACCCGAATAAAATAATGCCTATTACAATAATGCTGCTTTATTCAACGTAGGTTGAGGATGATATAAAAGGATTTATGAAGTAGAGCTATCTTTATTTAAGGATCGATTCACTTTATAACTCTCTATACCCATGTCATATTCAAGACGTATATGCTTATATAAGATACCAATAGGTACTATTTCTATAAGACCATATTCGTCTAGTTGGAACCTCAGTGATCCCACCCTTACTAGTCCGATTGACGCCTTAGGACCTGTCGAGCTCATGGGACCCCTTACACCCGAGGGAGCATTCTCCCTTCAATATTGTCAAGTGTCAACACAACCGCGGGGCAATATAGTAATTAAATCACAATGTTGGAACTCTACTTTTATCAATATTGTGAAATCAACATCATGACAATGTTGTATCAATGTTGAATCACAATGTTGAAACTCTACATCTGTCGATATTGTGAACTCAACATTGGGACAATGTTGTATCGATGTTGAACTACAATGTTGAACTTCAACCAAGATTCAACAAAGCACAATCAAATTTCAACGTGATATCAACGTTGAATCAATGTTGAATTCGTGTTGAAGCACCAATATTGACAATCAACCTGATTTCAACATATCTCGATGTTGTATCAATGTTGTGTGCTACTAGGGACGTCACACTAACGGTCGCTCCATGTTGAAGATAGGGCCTTGTACAAGGCCCATTTTCAAATGAAGGGAACGAATTTCTTCAACACCAAGGTGGTTGCAGCCTAGATAGATAGTGGTTTCTGAACCTCGCCGCAAACTTGGCTATCTCAACTCAAACCCCATGTTAAAGGTGGGATAGTCCCTTTAAAACTACGCACCTCAATTATAAAACACATTTGACAGATTCTGAAGTGGAAAGCATGCTTATCAGACACGGGCACCTCGATGCGATGGATATTTTTCCACAAACCAAAACTTTTAGCCGTCAAAAAGCAATCGACCGAAATGGACAGCTAACCCAACCGGCACAAGAAAACCAAACACCCGCCGATCGAAAATACCCCTTTTTGCGTTGCGGAGCACGTGGGTCACCCTAGTGAAAACTATGCAGATCAATGAGCAATCACTGGCGGATCCAGAAACGCAGTCCTGGACAGTGGACGCTGCAGGGAGGCATGCTCCCAAGTTTCTTTAATTTCCGAAAACTCATCAGTTTTTATTCCTTACACACTGCTGTGCAATTCACAGAGAACTTTGAAATTTAGGGGGCTTTTGGGGCATTTGCCCAAAAAGCCCCCTCCCCCCGATCTGCCAACCGCCAGCGATAGCAATTTCATCTCTGCTTTCCATGGTATCAGTATAGCCGGTTCTCCATATTTATGAATGGACACTTGTTAAATGCACTCACCAACATTATTCCAAAAAGACGTAATTCAACATCACCCACAGTTTAATCCAAAATTGTCAAATTTCTCTTGCAAATTTCACGACGTCTGTCAAACTAGCAGCGAGCAGCGAGCAGCGAGTCCAGCAGCGAGAAACGGGCCATCCCGATTTAGCTGAAATTTGGCTCACAGAGCCTTCTCAGCACGCTGATTCCGAAAATCATGGTCTCTAGGGTGGAAATATTGACCGTTCTCGAGATAGAACCCTCTAAAGTTCTTACCACCCATGACCGGGCCATCCCGATTTGGCTGAAAATTGGCTCACAGAGCCTTCTCAGCACGCTGATTCCGAAAATCATGGTCTCTAGGGTGGAAATATTGACCGTTCTCGAGATAGAACCCTCTAAAGTTCTTACCACCCATGACCGGGCCATCCCGATTTGGCTGAAAATTGGCTCACAGAGCCTTCTCAGCACGCTGATTCCGAAAATCATGGTCTCTAGGGTGGAAATATTGACCGTTCTCGAGATAGAACCCTCTAAAGTTCTTACCACCCATGACCGGGCCATCCCGATTTGGCTGAAAATTGGCTCACAGAGCCTTCTCAGCACGCTGATTCCGAAAATCATGGTCTCTAGGGTGGAAATATTGACTGTTCTCGAGATAGAACCCTCGCAGCGAGTCCAGCAGCGAGAAACGGGCCATCCCGATTTAGCTGAAATTTGGCTCACAGAGCCTTCTCAGCACGCTGATTCCGAAAATCATGGTCTCTAGGGTGGAATTATTGACCGTTCTCGAGATAGAACCCTCTAAAGTTCTTACCATCCATGACCGGGCCATCCCGATTTGGCTGAAAATTGGCCCACAGAGCCTTCTCAGCACGCTGATTCCGAAAATCATGGTCTCTAGGTTGGAAATATTGACCATTCTCGAGATAGAACCCTCTAAAGTTCTTACCATCCATGACCGGGCCATCCCGATTTGGCTGAAAATTGGCTCACAGAGCCTTCTCAGCACGCTTATTCCGAAAATCATGGTCTATAGGGTGGAAATATTGACCGTTCTCGAGATAGAACCCTCTAAAGTTCTTACCATCCATGACCGGGCCATCCCGATTTGGCTGAAAATTGGCTCACAGAGCCTTCTCAGCACGCTGATTCCGAAAATCATGGTCTCTAGGGTGGAAATATTGACCGTTCTCGAGATAGAACCCTCTAAAGTTCTTACCATCCATGACCGGGCCATCCCGATTTGGCTGAAAATTGGCTCACAGAGCCTTCTCAGCACGCTGATTCCGAAAATCATGGTCTCTAGGGTGGAAATATTGACCGTTCTCGAGATAGAACCCTCTAAAGTTCTTACCACCCATGACCGGGCCATCCCGATTTGGCTGAAAATTGGCTCACAGAGCCTTCTCAGCACGCTGATTCCGAAAATCATGGTCTTTAGGGTGGAAATATTGACCATTCTCGAGATAGAACCCTCTAAAGTTCTTACCATCCATGACCGGGCCATCCCGATTTGGCTGAAAATTGGCTCACAGAGCCTTCTCAGCACGCTGATTCCGAAAATCATGGTCTCTAGGGTGGAAATATTGACCGTTCTCGAGATAGAACCCTCTAAAGTTCTTACCATCCATGACCGGGCCATCCCGATTTGGCTGAAAATTGGCTCACAGAGCCTTCTCAGCACGCTGATTCCGAAAATCATGGTCTCTAGGGTGGAAATATTGACCGTTCTCGAGATAGAACCCTCTAAAGTTCTTACCACCCATGACCGGGCCATCCCGATTTGGCTGAAAATTGGCTCACAGAGCCTTCTCAGCACGCTGATTCCGAAAATCATGGTCTTTAGGGTGGAAATATTGACCATTCTCGAGATAGAACCCTCTTAAAGTTCTTACCATCCATGACCGGGCCATCCCGATTTGGCTGAAAATTGGCTCACAGAGCCTTCTCAGCACGCTGATTCCGAAAATAATGGTCTCTAGGGTGGAAATATTGACCATTCTCGAGATAGAACCCTCTAAAGTTCTTACCATCCATTACCGGGCCATCCCGATTTGGCTGAAAATTGGCTCACAGAGCCTTCTCAGCACGCTGATTCCGAAAATCATGGTCTTTAGGGTGGAAATATTGACCATTCTCGAGATAGAACCCTCTAAAGTTCTTACCATCCATGACCGGGCCATCCCGATTTGGCTGAAAATTGGCTCACAGAGCCTTCTCAGCACGCTGATTCCGAAAATCATGGTCTCTAGGGTGGAAATATTGACCGTTCTCGAGATAGAACCCTCTAAAGTTCTTACCATCCATGACCGGGCCATCCCGATTTGGCTGAAAATTGGCTCACAGAGCCTTCTCAGCACGCTGATTCCGAAAATCATGATCTCTAGGGTGGAAATATTGACCGTTCTCGAGATAGAACCCTCTAAAGTTCTTACCACCCATGACCGGGCCATCCCGATTTGGCTGAAAATTGGCTCACAGAGCCTTCTCAGCACGCTGATTCCGAAAATAATGGTCTCTAGGGTGGAAATATTGACCGTTCTCGAGATAGAACCCTCTAAAGTTCTTACCACCCATGACCGGGCCATCCCGATTTGGCTGAAAATTGGCTCACAGAGCCTTCTCAGCACGCTGATTCCGAAAATCATGGTCTCTAGGGTGGAAATATTGACTGTTCTCGAGATAGAACCCTCGCAGCGAGTCCAGCAGCGAGAAACGGGCCATCCCGATTTAGCTGAAATTTGGCTCACAGAGCCTTCTCAGCACGCTGATTCCGAAAATCATGGTCTCTAGGGTGGAAATACTGACTGTTCGCGAGATAGAACCCTCGCAGCGAGTCCAGCAGCGAGAAACGGGCCATCCCGATTTAGCTGAAATTTGGCTCACAGAGCCTTCTCAGCACGCTGATTCCGAAAATCATGGTCTCTAGGGTGGAAATATTGACCGTTCTCGAGATAGAACCCTCTAAAGTTCTTACCATCCATGACCGGGCCATCCCGATTTGGCTGAAAATTGGCTCACAGAGCCTTCTCAGCACGCTGATTCCGAAAATCATGGTCTCTAGGTTGGAAATATTGACCATTCTCGAGATAGAACCCTCTAAAGTTCTTACCATCCATGACCGGGCCATCCCGATTTGGCTGAAAATTGGCTCACAGAGCCTTCTCAGCACGCTGATTCCGAAAATCATGGTCTATAGGGTGGAACTATTGACCGTTCTCGAGATAGAACCCTCTAAAGTTCTTACCATCCATGACCGGGCCATCCCGATTTGGCTGAAAATTGGCTCACAGAGCCTTCTCAGCACGCTGATTCCGAAAATCATGGTCTCTAGGGTGGAAATATTGACCGTTCTCGAGATAGAACCCTCTAAAGTTCTTACCATCCATGACCGGGCCATCCCGATTTGGCTGAAAATTGGCTCACAGAGCCTTCTCAGCAGGCTGATTCCGAAAATCATGGTCTCTAGGTTGGAAATATTGACCATTCTCGAGATAGAACCCTCTAAAGTTCTTACCATCCATTACCAGGCCATCCCGATTTGGCTGAAAATTGGCTCACAGAGCCTTCTCAGCACGCTGTTTCCGAAAATCATGGTCTATAGGGTGGAAATATTGACCGTTCTCGAGATAGAACCCTCTAAAGTTCTTACCATCCATGACCGGGCCATCCCGATTTGGCTGAAAATTGGCTCACAGAGCCTTCTCAGCACGCTGATTCCGAAAATCATGGTCTTTAGGGTGGAAATATTGACCATTCTCGAGATAGAACCCTCTAAAGTTCTTACCATCCATGACCGGGCCATCCCGATTTGGCTGAAAATTGGCTCACAGAGCCTTCTCAGCACGCTGATTCCGAAAATCATGGTCATGGACTCGCTGCGAGGGTTCTATCTCGAGAACGGTCAATAGTTCCACCCAAGGACCATGATTTTCGGAATCAGCGTGCTGAGAAGGCTCTGTGAGCCAATTTTCAGCCAAATCGGGATGGCCCGGTCATGGGTGGTAAGAACTTTAGAGGGTTCTATCTCGAGAACGGTCAATATTTCCACCCTAGAGACCATGATTTTCGGAATCAGCGTGCTGAGAAGGCTCTGTGAGCCAAATTTCAGCTAAATCGGGATGGCCCGTTTCTCGCTGCTGGACTCGCTGCGAGGGTTCTATCTCGAGAACGGTCAATATTTCCACCCTAGAGACCATGATTTTCGGAATCAGCGTGCTGAGAAGGCTCTGTGAGCCAATTTTCAGCCAAATCGGGATGGCCCGGTCATGGATGGTAAGAACTTTAGAGGGTTCTATCTCGAGAACGGTCAATATTTCCACCCTAGAGACCATGATTTTCGGAATCAGCGTGCTGAGAATGCTCTGTGAGCCAATTTTCAGCCAAATCGGGATGGCCCGGTCATGGATGGTAAGAACTTTAGAGGGTTCTATCTCGAGAACGGTCAATATTTCCACCCTAGAGACCATGATTTTCGGAATCAGCGTGCTGAGAAGGCTCTGTGAGCCAAATTTCAGCTAAATCGGGATGGCCCGTTTCTCGCTGCTGGACTCGCTGCGAGGGTTCTATCTCGAGAACGGTCAATATTTCCACCCTAGAGACCATGATTTTCGGAATCAGCGTGCTGAGAAGGCTCTGTGAGCCAATTTTCAGCCAAATCGGGATGGCCCGGTCATGGATGGTAAGAACTTTAGAGGGTTCTATCTCGAGAATGGTCAATATTTCCACCCTAGAGACCATGATTTTCGGAATCAGCGTGCTGAGAAGGCTCTGTGGGCCAATTTTCAGCCAAATCGGGATGGCCCGGTCATGGATGGTAAGAACTTTAGAGGGTTCTATCTCGAGAACGGTCAATATTTCCACCCTAGAGACCATGATTTTCGGAATCAGCGTGCTGAGAAGGCTCTGTGAACCAAATTTCAGCTAAATCGGGATGGCCCGTTTCTCGCTGCTGGACTCGCTGCTCGCTGCTCGCTGCTAGTTTGACAGACGTAATTTCACGGCAGCAAACATCCACACGGAAAAATAATACACACATGGCGCGAAATACATCACTCAAGGTTGCATAAATTACAGCTACTAGGCATCGCTAAACTACTGCAGTTCTATTTCGCTTCCAAGACAGACAACACTCCCAACGGCAACAACCCCGAGAAAGACAGCGCGAGTTACTGGCGAAAAGAGAGAAATAGCATGACGCGTAATTGATGCATTGATTATGCTCCTATCAACGACCTACGCCAAAATGGTTTACATGTAAGGCTACGAATCAGTCGCAACTCGCTGGCCGCCCGCCGTAGGTCCATCATCTCGATATTGTAGGTAGGTAAGCAAACATAACAGATATTACATCGCCTAAGTTAACCTTTCGTGGAACAAGTCGAGGTCATCACTCAACAGTCACGTCAATTTTAGATGACATGCTTTACTTCGATGCTCAAATTTATGATAATGTGTGGACCAAGTGTGGACCACCATGGCACCCAGAAGTGCTGCACAGTGCACAAGGAGGCTGCCTGAGTATAAAATGATTTAACTCAATTTTGTGTCGAATGATAAAAGGCCGGCACGGGGCTCAGAACTCAGTACAGCATGGGGCAGCTAACTAGTTTAAATGGACGCTCGGTCAGGTCCTGCCATGTTCGTGTATGCCAGACCTATTTCATTTCAAGAGAATGTGTGTGGTGGTGCTCAGGAATCTGAACTTTGAAACAGGCAGTGAGTTTCGAAATTGCTGGTGCCTTTCGATTCGGGTGATACCTATCGCTTCGGGTTCTACACAAACAGCAACGTTGAATAAAAAAAAAACAATTTCCGAATACGCGCTGGTGTTAAAGGAAAAGGGCCACCTTTAACATGGGGATTGAAACTGAGATTGCCATCTTGTAGCCCGTGTCCGAAAACCTAACCGATTACCTCCTTACGGCCGATTTCGGCCTCCATTCGTAGTTATCGGCAATTTTAAAAGAAAATACGCCAGGAATGCGTCCTTATCCCAGGAATGCGTTCTTATCCGACAATACAGCCACCCGCGGCGAGGCTTTGGTTTTTTACCAATCAGCTCCAACCAGCTCAGCTTTAACCAATCAGCTTATCTGACACAATCCGACGAGTCTGTCTTCTGCACGCTGATTGGCTTGAGTGTGACGTCATCGCTATGCCATCATACAGTAGGTGCCGTAGAGAGTATCAACATAGTACCAATATGTTAAATAGTTTTAAATACTTTTTCGCGAATTAAGCACTTCTGGCACCAGTTTTAAAAAGAAAATGAAAAATAATAATGTCAAAATGAAAAACAACGATATCTTCATATTTCACGAAGGTGGCCCTTTTCCTTTAATTAGTTACAGATGACACCTGGCATGTGCCATTTAGCCACGACAGTCAGTTTCCATGTTTCAAACGACGCTTTAATATCCACCGCCCACCAACATTTTCCCACGCTCATTCCATGTATGTGCCTGTGTCATTCCAAAACAGAGAACTGAATCGTTCATAATCATGGCAACCATATCGAAGCGTTGCTAACACACTTCAAGGCAGGACCGATGACGGCCCCGCTTACGCACTGACCGAAGCGCGAGAGCGGCAGCGCAACGTGCACAGCCCGGTCAAGGGTCAGAACAGCATCGCACAGAGTTCACAAAGAAAACGTCAGCATCCAACAGCAAAGACAACTAGGACTCAGCTTATCTGCCACTGTCCACACACTCACCGAAAGAGAGCATACAAACTACGCAAACACACGACAAACACGCACACAACAAAGTCGCACACAAATTGCCTCAAAAGCTATCTATCGAGCAAGCTGGCTAATCGGGACCTGATGCGTCCGCGCTTTCATTTCATCCACAACCGAACTGCAGACTTAATGGAATAAGACACACCGTTGCCACTTTTTACCCCGTCGACACGGGCTACTTCTTCACTTGACAGTGGTACCTACGAGTACCTCAAACCAAGACATCCAACGAGGGATGTGGTAAAAGAGGGAAATGCGCACGCGCCACGTAGTCGCTACAAACAAGTGCTTCCCGTACACAACCGTCAGAGTGCTCCTTATTCCCGTATGCCGCCCTGCAAGAAAACTGCGATCGAACTGGGGGGACCATATTTGGGTCGTCTCCTCAGCCTTTGGAATTTGACGTGCAGTTGGTGTGCCCCTTGTGTGATTCGGCGGTACTCGCAGAACTGACAACCATTTTCTTCGGTTTCGGCCACGAGATGTCGCTCGAGGCATCCGAGTCGGAGTCGCTGGAGTCAGAGTAGGCGCCGACTCCGGGGAGCACGCCGATACATTCTAGCGCCGACGGATACTCTACGGCCCCGTCCTCCACCGGCACGGGTACCGGGGTCGTCTCATCAGCTCCCACGGGCGGCTCTGGGGAAATAAAGTACGGTGAGTTGACGGTGAGGACCGGAAGAGACTACGAGGAAGGCTCTGCGGCAGTTACCTACTGAGAAGTGACCATAAGAAACATTTCGGAGAGTGAACTAGCCGTAACTCAACCTAAATTCAGACCATTGATATTGAAAACGCGCTAAAAATCATAACTTATTACATGTCATATAGCAATAATGTGACATCTCGTAAGAAACATGACGAAAAGCACCGGATTACGAATAAGGATACGAATAGCACCGAAAATGAATAAAACAACCGATCAGCTCCGCGTCCGAAGGCATGTTACGCGTACCGGAATCGCCTTTGCCCTCCGCCGCATCCGACGCAGCAGCCGGTGCGGGTTTCTCGGCGGCGTCCCCGGCAGAGTTGGTACGCGCCTTCTTCTTCACCACTCCGGCCATGAGCTGGCTCTGCGTGCGTTTGGAGCCGGCTGCGGCGGCCCGTGCGGCGGGCGGCGCCGAGGGCCGCTGCACCTCCGCCTTCAGCCGCTGTTCTGTGGCCGCCTCCTCTGCCGACGCCTGCGCCTTCCTGAGGCGGCAGGCGGGGCGGGGCAGACGTGTCAGTTAGGGCCAGGGGATACTTAGTTTAGCGCGTAAGCCGCCCAACCTAACCTCCTAAAACACGCTGAATTCAGAGTACAGTGTTCCGGAAACATTAATTTTACCATTGAAAACGAAAAGTGCCCAAAAAGTTAAAGTGTAAAAGGGGACAGAGGCCGCTTGAACACATTTCGCACTAAATTCATAAAAGTATATCCCCGCGTTCGATGTCTCTCGAACGACGAAGATTCTAAGTCGTCCGGCCAATCACGTTCCATAGCCGCAGCCGAGCCCCCGCTGACCTTGAACGGGATTGGCCGGATGATGTAGAATCTTCGTCGTCCGAGAGACATCGAACGCGGGGTATATTTCACAGTCAAACATGAGCGCACGAAACCAATGGGAGTTGGGACGCAAATCAGCAGCTAACTTTCAAACAATTCTAAGCTTTTCAAGCCGACCTATAAAAAAAATTGGATGCTGCATCACTGATTCATTCGCTCTCAAAGCCTTAGCTTGTAACTCACCTAAACTCCTCCAGCTCCTTGTTTTCCTCTCGGTTTATCTTCGACTGCTGCTCGATTTTTGTCTTGTCGACAAGATCAAGAAAGCTGCACTCATCTTCATCGAGATTCTTTATTTGGTTTTCTAAAACGACAGGAAAATGTGACATACTGGGACTTGTGAAACGTTAAAAATCACAGCGCTCATCAGGTCGAATCCCGTCAATTGTGAATTCGGCGATGAACCGTCAACATGAAATCGTGCTATGCAGGTCAAGACTACATGTTCAAAGATTGTTTTATTCTTAAAATAGGACCGATAGCTACTATTATGGAAGGAGCCCTTTCTCTCGCTGGACCTACCGTTTTTCTTCTATGCACCCCGACCGACCCGGGAGGGGTTGGTGTGATCATTCTCATCCTTTTGCCCTTAATTGAGCTAGAGCTTGGCGGAAAACGAGCGTCACGGCACGCGGGGATTGGTACCGGACTCTAAGTTATTAGGCCGAGTGGTGACCAGTGAGGTCGGATCAAAGCCCCAAAGGTATGGGTCCCTTTTTGACAATAACTTCGCCGAAAACGACGGCAGAGCCGCGAGTTAGGGACCGTCGTGTTTGTCACGCTTACGTAAGGACTCAGTCACTCATAAGCTTGCTTCTTCATCTCCCAATGAAACATTCCCTGGCACAAAGGGCGTTGATAAGTTGCGACATTTTTGGACCGTGCATACGTCGTCCACTCCAGAAGTTTTGAGACTGGCCTCGTAAAATCCATATGAACAGTGCTAGATACTTGTTGTTCTCACAAGTCCTTACCACAGTTGTTATAAACGTACTTGCGTAATTTTGTTTTTCTACGTTGCAAAAGACGGCAACGGCGTCACCCTGAACATGGCAAGTCGCATGCGTCTTGTCACAGTGACCAGTGTAGAGCACAGTCAGGTTGTTCATGTGAAGACAACTTGGAGGGTCGCTGTGCAATAAAATTTTGGGATTAGCTTGGCAAAAATGCCCGAGAAACATAGCAAATTGGCTCTCAAGTGACTTGAGACGAAAGCTGGATGTATTTTTACCATCATGAGACCAAGAGACAAAAGGTCCAATGAAAACACACTGACTCCTTCAGACCCAATAAAGACAGACAGCGCAGGTCCCCTGGGAAGCTCAAATTAATCCCTTACTTAGAACAAAAAGGCAAAAAATTCATAACCTGGGTCCCCTACACGGCCAGATTGTCAACAAGGAATGATTCGTGAAGGTTCTGAGGGAGTTGAGAAAGAGATTTCGCCGCAAAAGGTCGGAACTCTTCAACTCTGGCAAGGGGCTCCTGCACCAGGACAGCGCACACACCCACAAGTCCACCATGGAGACGAACTATCTGACACAGATGTGCGTCAAAACCGTCCGTATCCCTTCCCACAGTCCTGATCTGGCCCCCTGGCTTCTGGATGTTCCCCAGACTGACAGGGAAGCTCAGGGGCCGTCTTTCGGAGGATGTGGAGGAGATAAGTGAGGCTGTGACAGAGGCCCTGGGCACCTTCACTTTGAAGGCCTATCAGCAGGCCTTCAGGCAGTGACAGGAGCGCTAAAGCAGGTGCATTGGACTCGGGAAGTTCCATTTCGAGAGTCATACAAGTTTCATGCTTCTCTGCAACAGACAACTGTCTCTACTGAAAAAGTCTCAAAACTTCTGGAGTGCACCACGTAGGTTCACTTATGCCGCCATAGATCATTGGCCTGACATGACTCGAGGATAAAGATGACGCTGATGTCAGCAAGATCCACCTTGAATGTTTCAAAGGCCAGGCATGCAAGCGTTCAGCTCTTTATCACTAACCGGTACGAGCAATCGCGAGAAAACCGAGCGCGGATTACACCAATGGTTGCCATCCCACTGCCCCTCAGCAAGGAGGGCCAAGGGCGATAGCTAAGGTGTTGGGTGCCACAGCTGACCCTAAGGCCAAATGTGAAATAGATTTGATTAGAATATAGCCAAATGCAGCCTATTTTTGTCATAAAGTTCACACAATATGCAAAGCAATGACCATAAAAGTTGCCAAGAAAATGCCATTCTATAAGGTCATACCAGCTGCACAAGCTGTCCCCAGCAAGGTTTGTGCCATCCTACCAGCAGCCACATTTTTGATGGAGGTTTATTATCACAGCAAGTAATCACATCATTTGCCTCCCACTTACTGAACTTCCTCGACTCCTCCCACTCCTCCTGCTTTTTATCTTTCTGCTCCTGAAGACGGTCATACAATGTCCTATGATCATACTCTGGTTCAGGAGCCTCTGAAAAAGGTGCCAGAGGCCATATGAGTCATAGATACAAACAACACAACTTGTTTAAATATGCATAAAGCTTGAGCTTAGAAGAATAGTTCAATGTAAAACTGATATAAATCTAAAAACAAATACCTATTAGAATGCAATATTTCAATTGTGACTAGAAAGACCAACTATTTCATACAGCTGCTTACACCTCAGAGTAGAGTTATCAAAGTAGGTAGGTAGGCTAGGTAGTGTACCTAGCATTCTGGTCAGTACCTAGCTAGAAAAAAGTAAATGCTTAACTACATGGCTACTTAAATGAATCACATCAATAGGTACTGTAGCACCCTGCAGTTCAAAGAAACCAAACCAGCTATCAGATCATAAGCCTGTTGGCGCTCACCGATCGGCTGGTCCTCCGTGCGTACTTTCTCCCACTCCTTTTGTCTTGCCTCTCTCTGCTTCTGCAGCTCAGCCTCGCTCACAAAACCGCTGCTCATGGCTGCTGGTCAAGCCTTCACCTGTGGACGGCTATGGTCAAACGTCAAAACAGAGTCATCGCTCATTGCACCCTAGCTGGCTGAAGCCTGCAATGTGTCACACTAGCATATGTATCATACCTAAACATTGATTACAATTACCCATTACAAAACAAAACAGGTTCTTTTGATGACCATATTTTACATCTAAATCATTCACTACCTTACTTTTTGGCACACTAGCGTCTCAGTAGCTTGAGCTGGTCTAGCAGTACCTAGCACAATGTCCTTGTCAACCTTTATCGTTATCTAGAACTCTTTAGGGACCACTACCTCACTCAACACGTGCTGTCCCCAACGAGATACCGCCCCGGACAGACGCCGCACGTCCTGGACCTCGTGCTGACCAACGAGGAAGGCATGGTCCTCGACCTCCGCAGCCATCCGCCACTCGGCAGTAGCGACCACGTCGTCCTGACGTTCACCCTGCGGTGTTACGCTGAAGTCGAGCAAGTGACAACACTGAAACCGGCACTCCACCGCGGCGACTATGGGGCGATGGTCCAAATGGCGCGAGAGGCGACCTGGCCTGTCTCTGATGGCTGCACCGTTGACCAACACTACCGAGCGTTTCAAGAAGTCCTGGACGGCATCTGCGAGCGCGGCATCCCTAGGCAGCACCCAGGTGGCAGGAAGCGAAACCTGTACATGACGCGCGAGGCCCTGACGCTGCAGAACCGTAAGAAGAGAATGTGGAAGAGATACCTACTAACCCAAGATACCCTGGACTACTGCCGATTCTCTCGAACCAGGAACCAGTTGAAGGGACTGGTTAGACGTCTCCGCAGGAATTTTGAGCGGCAACTGGTGGAGAACCTGCCAGAAAACCCGAAGGCATTTTGGCGTTATGTACACTCCCGCCTGACCACCAGAACAAGAGTGGACGACCTCGTCACTGAGAATGGGGATATGGCGTGCACGGACGCAGCTAAAGCCAGGGCTCTGGCGGAAGCTTACAGCAGTGTGTACTGCTGGGATGAAGACCCGGCTGACGTTCCAGCAATGAATCCCCAGTATGGAGGCCCAACGTTGGAGGAGCTGCGGGTGACGCCGGGGCAAGTGGAGGGTAAACTCCGCAACCTACGCCCGGCAGCATCACCAGGCCCTGACGCAGTCCATCCTAGGGTGTTGCGCGAGCTGGCTGCCCCCCTGTGTGGTCCCTTGACAGACCTCTTCAACCACTCCTTGGCAGACGGAAGAGTCCCAAGAGATTGGAAGCTAGGTCAAGTTGTCCCCATTTATAAAAAGGGACCTCGTAGCGATCCTTCCAATTACCGTCCCGTCAGCCTGACGTCCGTGACGGCGAAAGTGTTGGAGTCGCTCGTGCGTGACGCCCTGTTCGAGCACATGACAGTGACAGGCCAGCTAACTGAATGCCAGCACGGGTTCCGCCCGGGGCGCTCCTGCGCAACGCAGCTTCTCAGCACACTCGAGGAGTGGACTTGGCTGATGGAGGAGGGCGAGCCGGTTGACGTCGCCTACTTGGACTTCCGACGCGCCTTCGATTCGGTGCCTCACCTGCGTCTTCTCCAGAAGCTCCACGACATGGGCGTTAGGGGACGCCTCCTCGAGTGGCTTCGCTCTTTCCTGACAGAGAGAAAGCAAAGGGTCACTGTCAACGGCAGCTTCTCGGACTGGGTCGCAGTCGGCAGCGGTATCCCGCAGGGCACAGTTTTGGGACCAGTGCTCTTCATCGCTTTTGTCAACGACCTACCTGGCTGCGTAGAGAGCGCATGCAAGCTCTTCGCTGATGACACGAAGGTGTACGTCGGAGCGGGCACCGAGACCGGCCGCAGAAGGCTCCAGCAGGATTTGGACGCCCTGGCGGCCTGGTCTCGGAAGTGGAAGCTGCCGTTCAACCCATCCAAGTGCACAGTGCTTCACCTGGGCAGCCAAAACGTGCGGACGAAGTACACGATCGAAGGTGCTGCATTGAAGACTGTTGACACGGAAAGAGACTTGGGGGTCCAGATGGACAGACTGCTTAAATTCAGGGAGCAGGCGGCGACCGCCATTGGCAAGGCCAACAGAACCCTCGGCCTGATCAAGCACAGCTTCGTCCACATCGATTCCAAGACACTTCCTCTGCTGTATAAGACAATGGTTCGCCCGCACCTAGAGTACTGCAATCAAGTATGGGGCCCGTTCAACACGACCGACGTGAGGCTGGTGGAGCGGGTTCAGCGACGGGCTACGCGCCTTGTCCCTGGACTTCGGCATCTGCCTTACGAAGAACGACTGAAGAGTCTTAAACTTCCCTCCCTCCAGTACCGCCGTCGACGCGGAGATATGATCACGATGTTCAACATCATGCACGGACGCTCCGGCCTGGACAAGGACGACTTCTTCTCGCCCGCCCCAAGTACACGCACCCGCGGCCACCGACTCAAGGTGGCCAAGAAGCCAGCGGTCAGCCGCGTCCGGCGCAACCACTTCGCCACCCGGGTTGTGTCGGACTGGAACGCCCTACCAGAAGAAGTTGTCTGCTCGCCATCGACAAATGTTTTCAAGAACCGGCTGGACAAGCACTGGATGAACTATGCCTTCATCGCTCCACAATAGATAAGACTGTTAATGCTACCCGAGCTCTTTACGACGGATCCACCGGGCAATCCTAGTGCCTTCAATGATCCCCAAATATCAGGTATCAGGTATCAGGTATCTGACAAAGAACCATAAACAAGCACACTGTAGGTGATATAGATACGTTTTCAATAACTTTTTCAGCCAGCTAGAGCGGGGAAATCTCAGTGCATTGACGTCAACAATGCAACAAAACCGCAGATTGAAATGTGCACAAAATGGTAAACACTAAGTGTAAGGGTCAAAATTCCCCGAGTTATAACGCAAGAATGACCTTTATTGAGTTTTGGTGCGGCTTAAAAGAACCTTTTGCGTCATTAATGTCTTTAAAAATTAAAATAAACCCATCTCCCTTGCTCAGTGTAGTATTGAGTGGCAGCTAGGAAATCACAGCTCAGCTGATCTTACGTTACTGTGATTTCGGTCTGCCTTTTTGTCAAAGTTTCCTAAAAAATGAGTAGATTTTCTTTTCACTTATTTTTGAGCAAGGTGAAATATCAATTTTTACAAAATATTATAAATAAGAAGATGATAATTTCCCAAAATTACCCTCATATCAAAATCATTTTCTTCTTTAAAAGGCTAGCCAGCTGAGTTCCTAATAACTCATTTTGTTGTATTAGTCATACCCAGCACGGGCTTGGTTTCGCCAGTTCTCTATATACCGTGGTTTCGCCCAAAACCGTTTTGGTTTGAGTGAGCCTTGAGACGTGTATTGTTGAATGTTTTCAGTGTACTTTGCTGTGCGATTAGTAAGAAGTATGTGGTGACTCTCAAGCAATGAAAATGGAAGCATTGTTCACGACCGGAAGATGAGGTTTCCTTTATTATGGTGATCCATCAAGATTCATCACCTCGTTTCAATTCATTTTCCAAGTTCACCGTGATGAGTTAATGGGAGCGAGGCCTACTTTTGTGTGAAAGTGTACCTAATAGCTCAAGATATTGGGTCAGTTACAAGCTCAATGAAAGGTGCATTTAATACTGTATTTTTGATACAAGCCCCTGCCCATAGTAACTTTCTTTGAAAGTCTACCTGCATTTACCACTGTTCAAGATTCTGATTTGGTCAGCGTCATCCATTTGTACGATCAAGCATGTCCATCAGAAGTGTGCTTACCAGAGACCTTAATGGTAAGATATTTATCATCTCTACAGCCATGTTGTAACAATAATTATTAGCTACTTTGATACACTTAGCCACACTATAATTACAAACATTAATATCATCCATTTCATTGCTGTCAAAATGTGCTTTTGGGGGGAGGGAAAGTGAATAAGTTTATAGCAACATGCTGTCACTTATTTTCTGATTCCCTAGCTGTTCTGTATGAATATATTTGTTCTTCAGTCTCTTGTGACCTTTGAGTTAAGCTAGGTTTATGTCATTGTTGCTCTTGTTATTCAAAGAATAATGTTTTTATTGGGTGTGTGTTGTCTTGTCATATAATCAAAAAAAGTTTTTTTCTGAGAACATGTCATAAATTGTATAACACGCATTTCTGTTTTCTGTCTTAGTGTTCCATGCAATGTGGTTTCAAGTGATCAATGGACAGCTTGTGATGTCAGGTGTGTAATTTCTATTGGCTGCTTTTGGGCTGCATGGCTCTCATCAAGTTATGCCTAGTTTGAGTTCTAATGAAGGACAACCTATCCTAATTTCCCAGGTCAAGTGAGGGGGTTCTACTCATACCCAGCTGTTGAGCATTTACCTCTTGTTTACTGCTGAGTAGGACACAGTAACATGAATCAGCATGACTTAAAAGTGCATTAGTGTAGAACTTTGAAGGTGTAAGATTTTAATCGTTTGGGAAAGCCATGCCATTAACCAACAGCTTTGGTTTTGTTTACCAGGATCAGCTCAGTTGCCCCGATAAATTGTCCGGCCGTTCCGGATACCGCTAAAACGTACCATCTTGTCCGGCCATTCCGGATACCGTCAAAACGTACCACTTGTCCGGCCGTTCCGGATACCGTCAAAACGTACCGGCCTTCGTGGCCATGTCTCTGGCTCCTCACATCTCAAACATTGGGCATTCGGGTCGCTGTCATGAGTCTCCCAGCTCGCTTACTTCAGTTGCTGTTGACTTTTTTATTTTTCATTCTGAACTCAAATGCTACTGCCAAGCTGGTATTGGACCCCTCAGGCGAGGGGTGTCCGATTTCCGTTCGGGTAGATGCGTGGTGAACGTGAACTCCCGGTTCGAGCCCCTCCAGCGCCCGTTCTGTCGGAGATAGCCTAGTGTCAGCGTCAGTGGTCGCAGCACAGGCCAGGTGGCTGCATTTAGGATGGTCAGCTCGGTCGCATCTCAAAATGTCGACTTGTGAATCATCATTCAGTCAAACATTCTGCCCGCTTGGAGCTTTCTGATCGAACGATATTGCTTAGGATGTGGGTAACGACGTACGCTTAGTTTCGTCTTTTTTTTTACCTCGGTAACTCCGTCTGTTATAAGAAATTATTAGAACTCCGTATTTTATAAAAGCAGCTCCTTAGCTTTTTTGTTCGTTTGCTTCCATTTAATACGTACCCCACGCCATGAATGCTCAACTGAAATATAAACAATTAGTTCGAGAAGATTGCGAAATTAGAAACTGGGATGTTGAGATGCACTCTGGATCAGAAGATGTGTCAGCTCCCTCATTTGTTTTACGCATACTTGTTCTATAATACATAAGTAGCCTTTTGGAAATATAAGGTTCATTTTTTGTTTCTCTACAAAAATATATCCAATGGGATATATTTTTGTAGGATATATAATGATCGGCAGCTAACCCTATTCGTGCTCCTCGTCTACCGATTCGGGATACCGACATCTTGCCGGCAAAGATTCTAGTGCGTGCTTCCTCCTCTGAGCGTTTTTCTTCGTCATCTTTTATCGTAGGGTTTTGGCTTGTTTTCTTCAAAACAAGCAACTGGTGCTTTGGCTGCTAATTTACAAACAATGAGTGTTTCATTGAAATTAACTAATGGCTGGTGCGGGCATTTGAAAAGTCTTTTGGCATGAATTACAAGAAGCAGTGCCTTCACAATGAACACACAGCTTTACATGCGCCGCTGTCGCATTGTTCCCTCGCAGCTGATTTTTCCTCGATACTTTTCACATTGTTCCAAAACACCGTCCTTGTTTCTCGGTACCGGCGCTACCCCGCGGCTCTTGGTACCGTGATTTCCGCCCCGTGTTTCACTGAGCGGGCCCCCTGCGTGCAGTGGTGTACGGAACATCCCCCAACGCCTCGGCCGTCACCACGATTG